CACGGCGAGCAGGACGCTTTTGGGAAAGCCGATGCCGGTGATCAACGTCTTCGATGGTATACGGTCACGGAGCTCAGCAAGTTTATCTGCGAACTTTGCGCTAAAGAGATGCAGATGAGCAAGTCGAAGGTGCTCGGACCGAAGTCGAAGTACAATCCCTCTTCTTGCGTGAACTGTTGCGCGAACTGGAACGCGGACACGAACGGTATTGCAATGTCTATCGAGGGGAAGAAAATGTACACGCGCCTCTTCGCGGAATGCGTGGTGGCAATCCCCGACCTTCAAAACCTCATGGTGGACGTCAACAATATCCAGGCCATGATCACGATCATACGGGAGCTCGCGTACTCAAGGCTGAAGAAGGAGCTTTCTCACGTGGGATTCGTGAGCATGACTGTGGATCAAGCAGCGCAGTTCTACAACAACGGTCACGGGAAGCAATTGTGCGCATCCCGGGATGTGATCGTGTGCAAGAATTCCGAGGGAGTCGAGGAGAGGATGTCCATCTTCTTGATAGGCAAGGATCTCGGCAATGTGGCATATTCGTCATGGATCAAGAGTGTGCTCGACCAAGGAACGATGTATGAACTCCTGGGACAAACCACGAACGAGGAATCCTTGGGAGACGTCGTCGAGATGGTGTTGGGATTCTTTGAGGTGATGTCGTACTTCCAGCACGAACTGCCACTGTGGAAGGATGCATGGAAGATCAAGAGGGAGTTCGAGCAGTCAATAGTGCGACACCTCGCTGGGAACGTGACCCACACGACGGGCCAGAACAGAAAGCGGAACAAACCGTCCGCACAGCTCGGCGTGCCCACGAAGGAGGTGCTTGACATCATGAACAAGGTCAAGCCCAGACATCCACGATCCCTGATCACCGAGCCCTCTGCACAAGGTTCCAAGAGAAAGGCCACGGAGGGCGAAGATGAGGGTCTTGGTCAAGCACCAGACCCGAGTCGAAGTTCTCAAACCAATACTGAGAAGGAAGACAAGAAGCAGCGAGTGATCGACGGGCGGAGAGCGGCACTAGGATTCCTGGAGTCAATGGAGAAGTGCATGGGAGATATGGGGATCTGTAAGAAGTGCGCGAACCTGGCCCACGACGGCGACTGCAAGGACATTGAGGAGGCTGCTGGAAATGAGAAGGCGATGAAGGTGCTCCGTGAGCTACTCAGCAGTGACCCTGTTTCATCTGATGAAGACATGGGGGATACGGAGGAACCGTCCTCATCAACGTCCAAGGAAAGAAAGAAAGGAGGACAAGCAGGGAAAGAAACAATTGAGATGTACAGCTACACTATTAATTTGGTGGAGATGGCTGACACGGCTGAGGGAGGAGAGCTACAATGTGGTGGCGTCGACCTCACATACAACCCGTGCGGGGACAGCAGGACATTCAAGAAGACGCTTGAGATGGGATGCGACACCATCCCGTGCTACATCCCGAAGTACGGCGATGTGAGTGATGTGCACTTGCCATGGGCGTATGCGTCCATCGTTGACCCCAAATACTTTCCCAAAGGTGCAATCCTTGAGCAAGTGGACGTGATGCAACTTGGCAAGAGTGTCAACTTCTGCATTGCTCCTTTCGACGGTGCTCCACTATGCAGGATTGGTGATGATCGCTCGGTATTTACTACAAGGGACCAAGCAAACCAGCTATCTCACGACCTATGCAGAGTCCTTCGACACAAGATCGGCAATTGCCGAGGAAGTGCTTTCAGGTGCGACGAGGGTGGATGGGTCGACATTGATGCTGTCATTGACGACCGGAACAACGACATATTCCCACCATACACCACGAGAGCGAAACGATACATGGGCATCATGGAGGTGATCAAGTGGCAGGAATCCGGAAGCAAAAATCGAGATTCCAGGTTCTGGCAGCAAGGTTTCCGAGCATCATGAACCCGAACGACACGAGGGCAGCCAGGGAGGAAATGACCAAGGCTGGCGTGGATCGGGACGACATCGACAGGATGTTCAACAGATGCGATGGATGGTACAGACCTTGGTGCATCCGAGTCACAACCGGTCACAGTGATTTTGGATTCATGAGCTCATCCGCACTGGCGAATAGGTATTCCGCAAGAATGGGTGATACTCTCGGAGGAGCATTCCATGTGACGTATGTGGAAAACCTGCCAAGCATCGTACGCTGTGGGCTAGTCCCCGGCGGAATCGATGGCGGTAACAGGCTAGCACTGCACTTCGGGGCGTTTGCTCCATGGGATGAGATGAACGTGGCGACGAAGACAACGCTACGGAACGTGAGGAGAGGGGATCCGATTGCGATCATCTATATTCCCAGTGCAACCCTCGCGCGGTATGGGGCTGGAGTCGCGGCTAATGGGACTTTCATGGTCTTTGACGTGATCCCGTTCTATGAGGTCAAGTCCATTTGGATTGGCAAAAGCAATGGAGGGAAGCGCCTGGAGTACGCTGACATCAAGAGGGCGTACTCGAAGTGTGTGGAGAACGAGATCTGCCCTGGCTTTGTCAACTCTTCCCAAGAGTCGGCTGCGATGTTCCTCCAGAACGTCGCAAAGATCAGCGAGAGGATGCCGGAGACTGAGACAGGTGCCGATAATCTGCACTACATCGTTGACATGGTTAATCGTGCTTGCGAACTCTATCGAAACAACAAGATGGAAGAGTTCAACGCACAGGTCAACGAGGTCCGGGACGAAGTCAGCAAAGTCGTCATCCTGAATGATGAGACATGGGAAGGACTGAGGTGCCGGATATGTCCATCATGTGCGACCGCGATCCCCACCTGCTTCTGCTTATGCCTGGAGTGCGAGGCACAACTGATCTCCATCGGAAGATACTACATTCACATCAATTCCGATGACGAGGAGGACAACCAAAACCCCAACGTCTCTGGAGATGCCAGGCGTGCACAGGAAGAAGCTAACCACGATGCGGCAGCACAGGAGGATGAAGACGAAGCGGAGGAAGTTCCGGGAGAAGATGACGACATGGACACGCAAGGATATACATCCGGCTATGCGTCAGAAGAAGAAGACGGCGGTTGGCATTACCGCGACACCGATCTGACGTCACGGGACATTATAAGTTCCCAACGGATGGCGATCTGCCTTGACGAGCCGCGTGAGGCTCAGTACATGGCAGGATTTATCGCACTCCAGCTGTCCAAGATGTGGGGGATGTTTGAAGGTGGTGAGGAGAGAACGATGAATGCCGGACTCGAAGGGAATCCGGGCTGCCCTTATCACAATGATTTCAAGAGGTACCCCAACATCACTGAGCATGATCAGGAAGGTATACTTTTGCCATCAACAATAACGAAGATTTCTCAATCGGAGAATGTTCGGACAAGAGCCTTCCGATCGGTTGAGGAGCGTGACGAATATATTCGTATGATGGTGAACAAATGCGAGGGACTATACACATTCTACAAGCTGTGGATTGCAGCAAGAATCCTCGATGTCACCAAGGAAGAAATGAAGCTCCTGGTCAAGGACCGAGTGCACCCGGTGGGTGATATTATTTTCAGATGTTTTGCACTAGCTTTCAACTGTAAGTATATATCATTCGTGAGGGATGGCCTAAACCTTGGCAAGCATGGTTACACGGTCAACGTGAGCGCCATCATCTCGGCCATCGACCCGAACAAATGCGACACACCCCTGCTGGATTGGTGCCTTCGGAAAGGGCACTGGTTGCCAGAGGACTACAACAAGAAGTGTGTCCGGGCACGAGAAGCCCAGAAGAACTTGGACGAGGAGTTCCGCCGACGTACCCATAGGCTGTCCATTGGGGACAGGTATGCTTCGTGAAGATGATGATTGCGGTACGATGTGGGCCAGTCCCCATCTGTTACTTGCGTCACATCGACACTGTTTCGGTGGAACGACTTATGTCATGATTTATATTCATGTGTCCAAGATGATTGGATGTGTACATGGTTACATATTCCGATGACTATGACGCTCTGGATATTCATGGATGGAACTATTACCTTATAGATGATATCTTTTCATTATTTATGCATTGTCCATGGTATCTGGAATGGCTATGATTTGCATTGATTACTCACCGATGTTTCTTTGCCGGAGATATGCAGACCGATCACAAGCGGGCGCGTCTGGTGGACTTTTGTGGCCAACCCATTTATGGATGACAGCTGCGCGATGCGCAAATGCGGCAGCTGGAATGTTCACTGGCGGTCAAGTGAAGTGGCCACAGTGTATTATATACACCTGCATATGGATGTGTGCTTCGATTGGAGGATGAATGTTTCACTTTTCGTACAATCGAACCCGGCATGTTTCACAGCGAATGAACGGTGTAGTGATAGCAAGTAAAAGAATGCACGACACGATTTCGTAGTTGAAGCCGTGGCCAGTGGAACGTTTTGTGGTGTTTGGACCGCATGATGAACAATGCGACCCAAATGGGGGATGTTAAAACCCTCTAGGCCCCGTGCCGAAATTGGGTAGCTGTTCTGAGGTCCTTGTTGGTGTTGCTTCCCAAGTTCCATTGATCGCCATTTGGCTCAAGACACAATTGAGGTTCAAGATCTGATGTGTGACTGCAGACCTACGTGATCGGCATTAAGAGCAAAACAACTGCTTGCGCCGCTTTGTCAGGACTACTGGTGTAACTATCATTCCTTCTTCCTTACAACGTTTACACGGGTTCGGCTATAACGGCATCGTCCGTATACACCTTTCTACGTGGTTGGTATTAAAGCTTGAGGGTTCGGTGCATAGCGTCCCACGGGACGTCACCTTGCCGTCTCTTGACATTTTGGCTGCGGTCAAAAGGAGGTCTCGTTGTTCCCTTTTTCTGGCGGGTTCAAAGCCTGGGGATTCTCATAGGGGTACCAGGGCATGTGATTCCTAAAGACCAGCAAAGGTCAACCCCGGCGAAAAGGGACGCACCCATCACGTGTCTTCCCGAGTCTGCCTTGACGCTACAGAAAGTAACCACGCGTTAGGGGTTGGGTTTCTCGCGGGTTGCGACCTCAGGGGCAAGCTCGCACGAGCTGCGCTTCCCGGCGAAGTATTCGTTGCACCTTGATGTTGCTTATTCGATTTGTTCGGCGCAAGTCAACAGAAGTGCCTCATCGTTATGGATGTAGGCAGTGGCTTCGGAGCGAAGTCTGAGGCGCTTCGGTTTCTACCTGTTTCTTGCGGACAGGAAGAGGGTGCCCCAACTCGGGCCCTTTTGGGCAGGAGTTTAACAGAGACAGGACGCCATCCGATGGTCTTCCATTCCTTTAGGAACCCAATTCGAGAGCGATATACTTGAAGGGTTGTCTCATATGTGTGTCAAAAATTGGACCCTCAAACTGACTGGTTGTCCTTCAGTGCCCAACAGGAGTGTGTCAACAGTACCATTGAGAGGAACGGAAGCACCCGACTCGTGGGTTTGATTGGTTTGGTGGTTAACGGGTGGTTTTCCATGAGCCCTCTACAAAAGCCAAGGTTTCAAATTTCCAAACCACCAATCCAAACCACCAACTAAGGGTTGCAGTACAGGAATGTATTTGGATCCAAGACAGTCGTCCCCTCCAAGTTGCCAAAGTCAGAACAGAGCAACCGTCACGTCGCTGAAGAGCAGCACGACGCGGATTTGTTTTGCATGCCCAGGGACAAGTCAGCGGTGCGGACCAAGCCGGTGATTGCTCCTTTGGCGGAATAGCCTTGGTCCTCTCCGAAATTCGGCCAAGTGAGGTCCCCCTCCGCCTTCCAGGCTCACGAATGTTTTAAAACAACAATTCGGATTTAAGCAGCTGGACTTTGGGATTCGTGCAAGTTGAGTCATTGTTGGTCTAGTGTTGGTTTAGTATTAGGATTGGTTTGTTTGTTTTTTGGGTCACTATTGGTTCTAAAGAGCCTCCTTAGAGTGGAAATATCTAGTTTAGTATTGGTGTTGAGCTGGCGTATTCTAAATGTAAGATTGAGTAGTTTGAACGTTGTGGAAACTATATTCAATAATGGTATAGATGAGCTAAGTATTGCCAATTCTTTGTAAGGTACCCCACAACCGTATTACAGTTTCGTTGGGCGCTTGTAGTAGTGGCAAGGAGTTGGCAAGCAGTTGGTTAGCAGCTGCCATAGTCTATTTGAATGCCATTTGGGCATATTTGACGATCTTGACGCTCCATTTATGATTTGCCAGCCTTGCCAGCAACTCGCCTCCAGCAACCTCTAGCAATGCGCTGCAACGCCACGAGGCGAGTGGTCTTTCGCAGACTTTCCGCAACCTCCCAAAAGCAAGTGTTTGAGCAGCACAGATCAATACACAAGCAAGCTCTGGAATGCGTCCAAGAACTTCCCCGGGTTGTGCGAGCTTTTGCGCCGGACCCATTGACTGCTCCTAAGTCTGAGCCCGTCATTTACAGCATTCTTGCGGATCTGCTTCGAAACAAAGCGTTTCAGGCTCTTCCAATCCGCTGGGTACCCGGTGCAACTAGTTGCAGTTTTGTTCTGGTATGACACCAAGGGTCAACCGGAATCTTCAAGCTTGTGCCTGATTCGCAGGCGCGACCGCATAGAGCGCTCACTTCTTAGTTGGGTTAAATGGCTGCCCGGGATCTCAGCCCGCTCCACCGGTACCTGATCCAGAGTGAGATTCAAGACTTGCGGAAACAGCAAAGATGTCCCCAGGAATGGAATGAGCTTCTCGCCGGTGCCCCGGTTCTCACAGAGGAAACCTCAACCTGCGCTCAATCTCATAGAGCAACTCTGGGGGGGCATTGCTCCGCCGTGACCTCTCTTGGCTTCCCGGAAATTCTGCTCCGTTCCAACCTTCCATTGGCTTTAGAATATGTCTCATTTTCCCCTGTTGGTTTTAAAGGGAATCTATCACTACTGGATTTTTTTTCAGGGGTCTTAGCCAAATGGAAGCAACCAGCCGGTTTTGGCCTGGAGGTCTTGCCCAAGCTGAACCACTCAGATTTCTGCCCTGGCTTCGATGTGCCTGGAGATTTGCCCGCGGAGGAGGGGCTGTTTTCAATCGGAGTCCTGGGCCAACTGTGTGTGCGTGTGTGTGTGTGTGTGTGTGTGTGTCCCTTTTCTTTGGTGCATTTTGCCAAGGGATGTTAGGACTTCAACTTTTTGCTAACTCATGGGTTTTCCACTGAACCACTAAAAGTTGCAAAAGTTAAACTTTTAGCAGGGGAGCAGAAAGCAACCGAGTTTTCAGAGTGGTTTAGAGAAACCAGAAGAACACACGTCATTTTGGGAGGGACATGGGAACGAGCTCTGAATAACCCCGCAAAAACTCGGGGATTCACAATTTTATTTATCCCATTTATCATTCAAGAAGATGTTATTTTGACCGTGCTTCACGTGCCATGGTAAGACGCGTTTGCTCGCAGGTTGCTAGGGATGGAAAACAGCCACTTGCCCAGGGTCTCCTTGCCTTAGCTATGCTGCCAAGTTGCAAGGAATGGTTAGTTGTTCAGTGGCACCCTTTTTCCTTTTTTTACCCTTTTCCTTTTTTTTGTGGCTGCCCCACTAAAAATGGTCTTCCCCAAAAAGAGTTCCTTTTTTCCAGGGTCACTGAACAACTGAGGAGACTACCCTGATAAGGCTTCCATGACTCCTGACATGAAGAGCTTTGATTGTCGCACACATGAAGTGGTGCCCTTTGGTTTTGAAGTACGCCGCGGCCTGGCAGCCTCTCTCTGATTTTGGTCCGTATAGCATATGGAGCTTCAGGTACCAAGTTGTTGCTCTGTTTTCTTTCTGGGGTCATGATTTTGACTGTGCTGAAGGAAACTGGGGTGGTTTTCCTTTAGCCTACCACTTAGGGGGTGACTTTCATAGTGAAGGTCCTAGGTGATTGTATGTTTGGGCAGGTCTCACACTAGGGGGACCCCCCAAATTGGTATCCCAAAAAGGGTCCTTACTCTTTCCCCCACACCACGTGGACACCAAACAGACATGAAATTGTGCCTCCCAACATGGAAGGCTCCACAGCCTTCCAACTGTAACCGCGCCAAATGTGCATTTTCGCATTTGCAGTGGGGGAAAGTACTCCAAAAGCACGTGGAGGCTGAAGCATCATTTGGGTGGCTCAAATTCAAGAGCAAGGCAAAATGCAGGTTTTAGTCTTTGGCTCCATTCGGTGCCATTTTGGGTGCGTCTTTTTTAGAAGACCCAAAAAAGTGGGTGGGTTGTCCTTTTGGTTTCCCTTTTACCCAACCAACAATCCGCTAGCCTCAAGACCAGACACACTCATTTGGGTGCCTTTTTGGGGCAGCCACTCGTCTTCCATTTGCTTAAGAATATGCTTTATTTTGTTTGTTGGTTTTAAAATGATTATTTACCACTACTGGACCTAAATCTGTTTTTTTTTCAGGGGTCTTTTAAATTTTGTACCACTGGACCAAAAACACATTTTTTCCAGGGGTCGCAAAGCCGAATGGAAGTTGTCGAGGTGTCTGGGGTAGACGTCTTGACATTCGGCTTCGGATCCGGTCCGCCAGGTATCCCAGGAGGAGGCCACACGAGCCTCGGCGTGCTTTTTTTGGTTTTGGGCGCAGGGTCAAAGGGGCGGATCTCGTGTTTTTTTGGGGGCATCAGAAGGGAACCTCTTTTTTTGGGCAATTTGGTGGGCACGGGCTAATTCAACACCAAAAAACCAAAGGAACAAAAGGGAAAACCACCATGTTTTTTGAGGGGGGGGGGTGAAAACCCCGCATCCATTCTGCCCTTTCTGCCTCTGCGCAGAAACGCGGAAGCTGGGGAGCCTTCGGTATCTTCACAAGGCGCTCATCCAAAGCAAAACTTGGGTTGGCCGCAAATCGCCCGCGGGAATCCAACATGGGATGTATAGCACCCAGTTAGGTTAGCAATGGTTCGGAGAATCTGCTCATCGACCTTGTACGTTGTCATGTGAAAGGAGCGGTTTGGGTGAGATGTGCACCTGATTGCCCGGGTCGTCAAACAGTAGCCAGCAATGTTTCATGTCTGAGCGTATGAAGCGTACACCGCTTCCCAAGATACTTTGGACCAATCTTGAACGCAAGTGGTCAGCTCCTGTGCACCATGATGAGTATTAGACTTACTATCAGTGACAGGCTGGTCACTTTACATATCAGGTGTTCACTCCTCCATTCAGACCACCAGCTTAGGCTCAACTATGATTTTCATGGGTAGGGGCGGGGCTTACAATACGGAACCCAAGAAATAATGGTTTTCCCTTTGGTTTCCTTCTTACACCAATCCCAAAGTTGTACCCACAACAAAAGAGACTGGCCCAAACTCTGGAACATGGGATCAAACCCCTTTTCAACAATGAAACAGGCAAAATCAACTGGTGTAGAATTGGGTAGTACTGCTGGGGCCCACTTTGAGATTCTATTTGTTTTGGCATTCCTGGGTTTGAGTTTCCATTTGATTTGGCAATGTTTGATTGAATGCTCCAGTTGACTTGTTATGGTGGAGTAGAACATGTGTTTGTTTTTTGGGGCCTGAAACAAATCATGAACCAGTATTGCAAGGGCGCCCCTGAGGAATTTTGTTTGTCCTCCTCAAGTGGTTCCCCTCGTGTGACGCAATAGGGCTGGTTCGGGCCAGGTTTTGAAAACAAACTATTTTAATAAAATTGATGATGGGTGGGTTTTTGCGGAACATTGTAGTCGTGACTCACCATGAGTGTAGGCTTAGTGTGATTCTCTGGGTTTCTTTGGGGTGGAGTTTTGACCATTTGCTTGGTGGGAGGGGAGGGAAAGTCAGAGTCATTTTTTGGCTGGGTGGTCACTATCTACACCAGAATTACTAATCGCAGGTTGCCAGGACGTGAGTTTGCTGTTGGTCAGGCAATGTTTGACGGGGAGCGTAGACCTTGGGTGTTTGTGGGAAGTGTGCCACCACCCTCAGCCCTTCGCAAGACGGGTTTTCAGAGATCGGCCCTTATGTGATGTTTTTTTTAAATACCTGCGTTCTGTCCAAAAGGAACAAAGTCTTGGTTATGGATGGGTCCATCAAAGTGCCACTCTCAAAAGTAACTTCTAGACCCTACCCAAAGTGTTCACTTGTGGCGTTGCCTTGTCTTTCTTTTGTTTGAGCCGAAACGCGTGAAGATGGCGGCGAATTGCTTGGCCAAACTGGAAGAGTGGTGCCCTTTGCTCCTTGAAATGGTTACCCTTGAAAATACACCACCCCAGGGTGGTTTGCCCATGGCCGCTTTGGGCAACCTCTTGGAATGTTTGAGATAGGCATACGTCCAGAGTCTCGGAGTTGCGCGCGGTCTTTCTCAGATGGGGTTTCTTTTGCAGGTTTGCCCGAAAGGGGAGCCCGAGAAGCCCGCCCCTGAGCTGCTTTCCAAGGCCTCATTGCTAAGAGCGTTGCAGCCTTCCTGACTCTGCATTTCCATGCAGCAGGCGAGACAGAGGCCAGACCGTTGGCTGGAACCTGAGTTGTGTAAGTTGTTGTGTGTTTGTTGTTGTTTGTCCTGGAGTGAACATTGAAGCTGAGTTGACATCTCACGAACATGGAGAATTCGGGGTGTGTTTATCCCAAAGCTCGTGACTCAAAACAAAACCCCTTCAAAAAGCTCAGCTCAACATTGATCATGCAGGGGATAGTTTGTCCAATCCCAGTAGCGCAGCTGCCCAACACATGTGTCTCCTTTGGGAAACCCCGTACGCGACAGGACGCGACACCATCTGAAAACCCTTGGGTTTTGCGGGTCGAAAGCGCAAGGGCCACGGCGTTGCAACCAAAGCCGGTTGCGGTACTCCTGTGCCCGGGGGGGGGGGGGGCGCGCGCCTTTTGCGGCGACTTTTTTTTGTTTTTCCGGGGCTGTTTCAAAGAGAACCACAAGGAACACCACGATGATGTGGGTCGCTGGATTTTGACACAGACCCCAGGTGGGAATTTTGAGGATCGCATTCATGGTCCCATTCTCCCTGGAGATATCATGATATCAGCTGGCAGGGCTTGCTTCTTAGACTGTTCCGGGCCACTCCGCGCAGGTGGGTATATAAGTTATGGCCACTCCACCCAGGTGGGTAACCCCCGTATTGCGAAATGGGTGTGACTGTTCCTTGGGGTCCCGAGGGATAAATGCCCACCAGCCATATTTGAGGTGGCTCCCTTTCTTCTCCTTCCCAAATGACCTTCTGTGGGTAAGATCGCTCATGTCAGGTGGTTGCATGTGATAGTGTCCTTCCAGGGTTCATTGGCAACGAAAGAGCATGTCTGCCAGGGCTGATGGCTGCTTGAGTGTGTTAAAACTCAAGGTTGCTCTCATCGCTCTAGACGTTTTGCGCACCACCATGCTTAACCAGAGCAAGCGTCTGCTCCATAACATGGCATGTCTCAATAGCTGCATCGGGCGGCTATCAGTCTCGCCGTGACAGGTCTATTTGAGCTTTGTATGTCAATGTCTGCTGCGTTGCCACTTTACACCGCCGCTGCCACTCCAAGAAAGCTTGCGTGTCCGTAGCAGTCACCGGACCTGCCTTGCAGATCTCATTTCGATTTTTCGCAAAGTGGGGCTCCAATCACGTAGCCCTAGGCCAAGACAGGCTGTCGCGCCAAAGTGTTCATTCCGCAACACAGCTCCACGCATGAGTCGCCGTGTTGACAGTTCTGAGTCTTGACAGATGAATGACATCAAGCAGCATGGTTTGTGCCGCCAAATAGAGGCCACGATGGCGCTTGTTCTCAATACTTCACAACCCCGCAGCGGAAGACATGAACGTACTGAAAGCACTTCAAGCGCCAAAAGTAGCTTCTGTGGCTAAAGTGTCACTTGATTGAACAGTATTGTTTAGCTTTAACTTAAGGCACATGGTTGAAGTTCGCTGAGACTTATCTGGAAACGGGAAGCAACCATGTATCGCCGAGAGAGAAGCGGGTCTGACACCGCAAACACGCCCTTGACGTTGACTTGCGACCAAGCACTTGACCACAACACACGTTTGACTTGACAGGGAAATGCTTCGTGAGTATAGTTTGGCTCGCGGCTGCTTCAGGCATTGAAAGTCCTGGAGAGCCAAGTGGAATGGACACGGCAGCTGATGACACCTTACTTGAAGGCAGGGAAAACAAGGGCATCGCGCAACGGGTCAGCCCGGTCATTAGCCAATTGGCCCAGCGTTGGTGCACGTGTTCCCGATTGGGCTTGACAGCGCTAATCGCAAGGCAGCTTGCTCCATGTTTGTCTCAATCCCGAAGAAAACGCTGCCGCTTTTGCAGTTGAAAACAATACGATGAGTGGTCTCACGACGTGTCCTGCAATGATATGACACGTTGCTTTACAGTCAACCTTTGTGTTTGGCGGCAGTTTATACAGATAGGCCTCCAGGCAAACTTCAAGGCCACACACACACATCAAAGGTGAAGCCTGACGTGGTTGACTTAAGATCACATATTTATTTGGCATAACCCTTTCCAGCCCGGGAACCGTATACTCCGTATACTAATCGATTACTTATGTATAATATGTCGTTGGCGTGCATTGGCGTTTAGCGAACGCAGCCAAAAGCCTATTTTTGATCGCTTACGAAAGGCGCCAAGCCATTTGCATCATGGGCTTTATGTAGGATCAACATTATTTGACCCAATTAGTTTCTGACAATGAGGGAACAGCAATGTCCTTGGAGTTTGTCCGGATTCCACGTGAAACTCCGGCAATCCTGTGCTAATCACTAAGCCAAATCGGCCAAATCGGGAGTCCACAGACGGGCCGATTTCGGAAGTTGCCGACCAAATTCGGATGAGAGAAGTCTTGGGCGTTTGGGGCATCACGGAGGTATGTTTTTTTCATTATTATTATGTCGTTGTGTTTTGTTGATGTGTTTACGTGTGTGTATGTTTGTGTGCATATGATATGAGGCAGGGTTCTTTTTTTTTCACGACTTGACGTCAGACAACTTCACACATCTCAAGCATTGCTCCCTTCGGGTGATGTAGACTGTGGCTTTAGTGATTCGGGAAAGGGGACCCTGATTTTTCGAACCGCGACCTGCTTTTGGGACCCTACTGGGTATAACCAAGAGGTTAAAGACCAGGGTGCCCAACATGGCGTTGTGTGTAGGCATCCAATGTGAATATGGGGGATGACACCAAGTCATCCCATGTTTACCGGACATTTTGAGCAACCTCCAGCATGTAAGTGTCGGGGCACAAGGAGAGACCGAGCTTGCATGAGGCGCAAAGCTGGGAGAGGGATGCGGAGAACCACTCTGTGAGCATGGAAGGCGGGCCCGAAAGGCAAGGGGATCCCACGGTGATTCCTCCAATGGGATCCCCACGGCCACGGCCAAGGGGATCCCAAATTCTTGGCGAACGGGTGGGGCAGACGTGAAGGCCTGCGATGCCGCGATTCCCACATTGTGCTTGCAGACCTGGGTGTCCTTTTGAGATGGGAAAGCCACGAGTCTGCATTGCACCGCACACCAGCCCATGATTCACCCATTGAACTGGTGGTTTTGAACAGAAATCAAGCTGTTCGTTTAGAGCCGGATGCAATGAGATTGGCTCGTGCAGGAAGGAGTCCTGGCAACGCAAGATTGTGGCAGCTGTTTGGACGTCTGGTGCCCGTATCGAACCTTCCTCGAAGAAACCAACAAAAACACGCGAATGGACTCGGCAGGACCATGAAAGCTTTGAGAGACGCTCGCCTTCCCAGATTTCATGTGTTTCTATGTCCATTTCTGTCCTTGGGACCAATATGAATGTATCGCTTCAGTATGGCAGGGGCCTGACATTGAGCCTTTGGTTTTCAGTGTGAGAGTGAAAAGTGGAGAACAATCCAGCTTTAGTTGAAGATATTGAAGTGTTTGGTGACCAGCCGCTCCAGATTCTGAGCAAGCTGAGAAGCCGTATTCTCGGGCTACAAGCCACTCTTTCCCTCAACCAGTTTGGCGTTGCCACTGTAGTGAGTTTTGCTTACCTTTTTTTCCCGCTGAAATTGACCCCAACCATCATTCCCTTTACTGAGCGGACTGGCAACGGGGGGTGCCCTCGCATGATTCACACTTGGGGTCCAGGTTAACTTTGTTTCTGTTTGTTTCTTCTCTTGTTGTGTTTGTTCCTTTGTTTTGTTTTTTTGTTGATTTTCTTTGTTTTGTTTTTGTTGCTGATTTTCTTTTGTTTTTTTTGTTGTGGGGGGGGGGTCGGCCTGCAAAATCGTCTCTAAGCGTCGATAGCACATGTAATGTTTGAGCAGCTTAAATGACACCTCCTGGACCGTGTCACCAGTACCGGGACCTTCTTTGGAGAATGGAGGTGTGGGGCTTGGACTTGCCAATGCTTAATTGAGTATGTCTGTATTTAGTGTTGCCAAAACTTAATCACAGATTCCCAGTACTTAATCGAGCATTGCCAAATCTAACTTGGTTTTGCCAGATGTTTTTTACCAAACACTCTGGCAAAACATTCATAGTCAACAAGATCGCCACCTCCCGTGACAACCCCGGACTGCGTGGGTATGTTTGTTGTTTTGTTTAGAACAGATAGACATAAAGAAGTTCTCTTGAATTTAGTGGCTTGGGGACCGCTTGCAAAATGAGTTCCTAGATGTAGCGCCTTAGCCATTGAGCTGGGAAGAGCTTGGTTAGATGAACGACCCTTTAAAAGTAAAAGGCTGAGGAGCTGGGAGTTTTACATCTCCCCACAAAGCTTGGCAATAAAGAAGGCTTGCTCTTTTAATGAAGAAGTTATTTTGAATTTGATGGTCTGGGCCCCGCCTGCAAAATTTTAAGCTGTGTAGCCTCTGAGCTGGGAGGGACTTAGATAAACCCTTTAAAAGTAAAAGGCTAATGCTTTGCAGTTGCTTGCATTGTTGCCCGGAGTTTCTCTCTTGATTTGTTGAGTGTTTTCTTCCAATCGACATCCCATTTGAAAAAGCGGGTCCAACAGTATGGCGATCCCAGTCGTCCAACCTGCTTTAATCCTATTTCCCCCCCCCCTTACCCCGCCCGACAGCACGCGTTCCTCACGTTCGCTGAAAGCCGCCAAAGCCGCCCAGGCGCCAGCGCCTTGTGCGCCTTGGCGCAGCGCAAGCTCGCGCCTCTGGAGCCCGAGGAGGAACAGCGCCTGCAGGCGGTCCGGCCTGATGGAGGTGCTGTTGCTAGTGGTGCTGGTGGCTGTGCTAGTGGTGGTGGCTGTGCTGGTGGTGATGATAATTGGCTGTGCTGGTGGTTGTAGTGGCTGTGCTGGTGGCGCTGGTGGTGCTGGTGGTGGTGGCGGCTGTGGCAGTGGTGCTGGTGGGGCTCGTGGGGCTGGTGGGGCTGGTTGTGGGGCTGGTGGAGCTGCTGGTGGTGTTGGCTGTGCTAGTGGCTGGTGGTGGTGATGGCTGTGCTAGTGGTGCTGGTGGTGGCGGTGGTGCTGTGCTAGTGTGATGGTGGTGGTAGTGGTGCTAGTGCTAGTGGTGCTGGTGGTGCTGGTGGTGGCTGTGCTGGTGCTAGTGGCGGTGGTGCTGGTGGTGGTGGTGGCTGTGGTAGTGGTGCTGGTGGGGCTGGTGGTGGTGGTGGCTGTGGTAGTGGTGCTGGTGGGGCTGGTGGGGCCTGTGCTAGTGGTGGTGGTGGTGGTGGCTGTGCGGTGCTGGTGCTGGTGGTGGTGGTGGTTGCTGCTGGTGGTGCTGTGGCTGTGCTAGTGGTGGTGGCTGTGCTGGTGGTGGTGGTGGTGGTGGTGGTTGTGCTAGTGGTGCTGGTTCTGGTTGCTGCTAGTGGTAGTGGCTGTGCTAGTGGTGCTGGTGGTGGTGGTGGCTGTGGTAGTGGTGTGGTGGTGCTGGTGGTGGCTGTGCTGGTGGTTCTGGTGGTGCTGAGGGTGGGTGGGTGGGTGGGGGGTGTGGGGGGTGGGGTGGGGTGGGGTGGGGGTGGGGTGGGGGGTGGGGTGGGGTGGGGGGTGGTGGCGGGTGCACCAGCACCACTGGCACAATCACCACCACCACCACCAGCACCACTGGCACAGCCACCACACCACACCACCAGCACCGCCAGACCTAGAAGCCACCACCACCCCACTAGCGCAGTGTGCTGGTGGTGGTAGTTGGCGGTGGCTGTGCTAGTGGGTCTGGTGCCTGGTGCTACTGCTGCTGCTGCTGCTCATGTTGGTGCGGTGGTGGTGTTGGTGGTGGTGGCTGTGCTAGCTGTGCTGGTGGTGGTGCTGGTGATGGTGGTGCTGGTGGTGGTGCTGGTGCTGCTGATGGTGGTGGTGGTGGTGGTGGCGGTGGTGGTGGGCGCCATTTTTGCCTCGATGGCAATGGAGTTGCGGGGTAGACCTTTTACTTCCTGCATGTTTGCAAAAAAGTTGCTGAAAGCCCCGCGCTCAACCTATCATGTTCGGCGTTGCGAACTTGGGCTTCTGAGCTTGGGCCCCAAGAACTTACCCCTTCTTAGAAGTATTTGTTGCGCACGGCCAACGGGAGACAGTTCTTCTTTAGGCGCCCCATGCTTCTTGGAAAACGCAAATTTGGTGTGTCTACCCGGAAGATAAGGCACCCGTGGCGCCCTTGTCAGCCGTTTTGCAGGTCCTGGACGGCTTCCACGTGTCCTCACCCAACTTGGAGCATTGCCACCCCAACTGGACGGCGCCCTGGCGCAGTCTCACATGAGGTTCGGTCATGTAGGCTCCTTAATTTTCCCACATCCTCTTGAGAACACAAGTAGTTTTGACCGTGGCCCTTGAATCCGGTTAAGGCTCTCACCCTCCCACCAGCGATCGCGGAAACACGCAGGACCCTTTGCGTTCCTCCTTTCTGAGAGGAGCAATGATGATATATAGTGATTGAAGAGATACTTGTGCAAATCCACGTTTGTTCCTGGGAAGGTAAATGCCCTTTACGCTCGCTTCGGTGGTTTATTCTGGATCTACATTTGAGAGCATCACTTTTATTTCTTTGCCGCTAACCAACATACCAGTTTTAGAATAGCTTGGATGTCTGATGTGCCAAGCAAAATCAATCCTTAGCACATCCGACCAAGCCTGATTTGCCACACCATGTCTTAACCAGACTCGATCAGGCTGGATTTTGGTTGGTTTCGGGCTTGGGCAAAGAAAGCCAAACCTGATCAGATCTGGTCAAACCTGTCCAATCTGACCAAAACCGTGTTTTTGATCCAGCTTGATTTGGTTGGTTTGGTCCTGGTCAGACAGCAACCAGTTCATTGTGTCAAGGGGTTTGCTGCTGTTATATCTGCTGTTGGGCGGTGAGTTCTGAAGATGAAACAACTCAAGTTTTTTTTGTTTCGAGAGGACAGGGTCTAGATTGAATCTGCCTGCGTGGGTGCATGTGCGCATGGGCGCGTAGTGTGAGAGAGGGTGTGTGTGTGTGGGTGTGTGTGTGTGTCTATGTGTGTGTGTGTCTGTGTGTTTCTGTATGTGTTTGTGTGTCTGTGAGTGTCTGTGTCTGTGTGTGTGTCTGTGTGTGTTTGTGTTTGTGTGTCTCTGTGTGTGTCTCTGTGTGTTTGTGTGTCTCTGTGTCTGTCTCTGTGTGTGTGTGTCTGTGTGTGTGTGTGTCTGTGTGTGTGTGTGTGTCTGTGTGTGTCTGTGTGTGTGTGTGTCTGTGTGTGTGTGTGTCTGTGTGTGTCTGTGTGTGTGTGTGTCTGTGCGTGTGTCTGTATACGTCTGTCTGTGTGTGTGTGTGTGTGTCTGTGTGTGTGTGTCTGTGTGTGTGTGTGTCTGTGCGTGTGTGTGTGTGTCCGTGTGTGTGTGTCCGTGTGTCTGTCCGTGTGTCTGTCCGTGTGTGTCCGTGTGTGTGTGTCCGTGTGTGTCCGTGTGTTTCTCTGTGTGTGTGTCTGTATGTCTGTGTGTCTGTGTGTCTGTGTGTCTGTGTGCGTCTGTGTGTGTGTGTGTCTGTGTGTTTGTGTGTCTGTGTGTCTGTATGTCTGTGTGTGTCTGTGTGTTTGTGTGTCTGTGTGTGCGTCTGTGTGTGTGTGTGTGTCTGTCCGTGTGTGTCCGTGTGTGTCCGTGTGTGTCCGTGTGTGTCTGTGTGTCCGTGTGTGTGTGTGTCTGTGTGTTTGCGCGTGTCTGTGTGTGTCCGTGTGTGTCCGTATTAAAGGTTCGTCCGAAAGTCCTGATTTCTAGATATATGCAGGGGAAGACCTTTTGGTCTTAATATTACTGTCCAAGGAAGCTTCGTGAAAGAGGTCGCGAAAGATAAATTAACTTTTGCGAACGCTTTGTTTTGTGTAAGGGTGGTTTGCTCAAAGGAAGATTGAATGATGAATCATGTGTATTTGCCGGCAGCGCGCGCAGAATGCGCACGATTAAAGTTGGTCGGAGGAAAGGGCGGCCTGAGGATTTCCGCAAGCAAACCCCCAGCAGGAAGCAGCTTGGAGTTTGCTCCACGGCAGATTCGGGCCAACGGGTACCCCTCCTGTGCTGTTGACAGTTTTCGAGCTGAGGCTGCGGAAGTGCACTCCGTGCGTGCTACTTCGGAACGCAAAAGTTGCCACTATCTAGTTGGGGCTGAGTGTGAAAATAGACATGCGAAAGCTCCGTGGTGGAGGTTGCGAAAAGTGAGTAGTTTCCGCGAAGATGGTGTTCCCGGGCAAATGGAAGGAAGTTCAGAGAACCGCCAACTGTGAGTGCAGTGGAAGATGGAATAAGTTACAGCAATGAAGATGCACGATCTTTACATTAAAGGTCATACCTTCACTCATCCAGCATGTGGGAATGAGCTTTTGTGAAAGCATCCACAATCGACTTGCTTGTCTGGGGTGGGCACCATGATGCCTGGAAGGTGACCCGGTCTGTTGTCCATCTGGCTGGGCAGACATTCGTGACAGACCTCCGTAACAAGACACGCTGGCTCGTTACACACCCCTCCTTACATACCCCTTGCCCCTCGTTACATACCCCAATGCGTGCACAGACTCTCAGTGATTTCCCATGGGTGCCTGCAGATCAGAGCATGGTTTTGGTGAAGAGTCAACTTGCAGAGAGCTTGCCATTTTGAAACAGGGGCCCCTATTGCTACTGTGCTTTGCTTTGTCTCGTTGCAGACCTCGATACATAGCCGTTACATACCTTGTTGCAGACCCAACCCCAGTCCGGGCCAGCGACCCCCCTTTTTGCCACAGCTGCTGGAGCTGCGGAGGCGCGCTTTGCGAACTGCGCTTTGCATTGCCTCGTTGCAGACCTCGTTACATAGCGGCTACATACCTCGTTGCAGACCCAAGCCCAGCCCGGGCCAGTGACCCCCCTTTGGCTCTTGGCTGTTGCAAATTTCCATCGAGGCGTGCTTTATTGCGCTTGTACTGAAGAGTTGCGACTGTCGAGCGGGAGCTGCTGCTCTTTGTTGTTCTGCGCTACATTGTGCTCTGATACTGATACTTGTCAGGAAATGTTTCCCGTTGCAGACCTGTGTAACAAGGACCTCCGTTACAGACCTCCGTAACAAGATCCGTGGCGCGTCGCACGTTACAGACCCTCAAAAACTTCATAGACATTTAGTTGACTGATGCAACTTGGTGGTTCGGGGGACAGTGATGGAAATGCTTTTCAACCCAAGCCGCGTCAATTGGGCCTTCTTTCCCCAACCCTTTGGTTGGGAGTGCCAACTTATGGGTGCCAAACTCGTAGATCGACTCGGCGCAGATACTGGCAAGTGGGTTTCAGGAGTCTTGCACCGACTGGTCTTGGCTATTAAAAGCCGATTCCAAGCCGGACCACTTTGACCGCAATGCCTCTTCTCACGATGATAGGTTTGGACAAGAATGCGTTTACAGTTTGCAGGCTTGGACGCGAATTGCACTGCTTTGTCCCTCTCGGCTTTTGAAGGTGCTGTCGTACACCTTTGCCTTTGGCCCAGGCTCTTGCGGGCGACCAATTGTTGGTGAGATCCTGCAGCCACACCAACTACTATACAGACATCAGCATCTTGTCAAGCTGTCCAACCTGAGCCTGGGAGTCAAGGGTTGTTGGCAGGGGCGATCGTCGACCCTCCAAAAGCAGAGTTCCCCCCTCGACAGCTTGTTTTGACTTGCCCGAGCCGTGTTTGCTCGACACCGCTCCAAGCTTTGGAAGCTTCGACAAGCTCGAATTGCAGATATGGGCACCGCAGGGCCGGGCTCGCTTGGTGCATGCTCTATTCCACACTGGGCCTGAGAAAAATATCCACCTAAGAGTCAAATTGTGCGCGCGCTTCCCTGCGTGTACGGCTTTGTTTTTAAGGAGTGCGCGCGGCCTCCTTTTTTTTCTGTCCCTCTGTCTTGCTCAGCTTTTGGACGCCAACGGTTGGAAGCCAAACGTGGGCCGCAAATGCTGACGGGCACTTGTCTGACCTGCAATCTTGGGAATTCAAGTAAACAACTTTGTCATCTTCCCAAAGCAAGTAAGCAAGTGCATGAGCCCATGAGCCTCTGCCACAACCCCTGCATGTGTTGTGCTGTGTATATTATGTAGAGGAAAGAGAGTGCATTTGCTTCGCTTTCTGCATACGTGTGTGCAGTCCTGACCTCCGGCAAGTCCGATCAAGCCCTGAAGCCAGCGTCAACAACCCGAAGCCAATCATCAAGAATATACCAAGCCAAAGTGCTTTGTTTGGGGGGGGGGGAGAACAAACTAATCATGTGCAGTTGCACACACATATATATATATTCATATTCATATGTGTGTATACATATATATATATATATGTTACACAAATACACACATTCATATTTCAGGTTCTTTCTCAAAAACAGAACCAAAGAGCACCCCCGACGTCCATGGGTTTCCCTTCCGTTTCCCTTCCTGAATTTAGTACCCCCGACAAAAAGGGGTCATGCAGCTATGTAGCCACCATGCGAAAGGCATATCTGCAAGTTTCTCTTTGTTCGTGGTTCAGGGGTAGTGGAGGCCATTCCTCCGACTGTCTCTATGTATGTATATATATACATTGTACCTTCCCTCTAGAAAAAGAAGCAGGGGTGGGTTGCATTTTGAGCCGAGTCAGTAACCATGTAAGACTCGATAGTTGGTACCGCCAATCTTCCCTGGGCATATATGTGTACATTGTATGCCCGTCCAGTGCCCACATCTCTACTTTTTTCACAGACGAGCATGTTCACTTTTCATTTTGTTTGTAGATGCCTGGCAGAAAACGCTGTAATTTAAAACGTTTTCGTTTGATTGTTTGCACTGTGTCGGATGTTGTCTGCATCCTTGATGCGAAACACCAATTAAGCCAGCAAACAACATGAACAGGGATAGCTTTTTTCAGATGCAATCTTGTCAGTGTGTCAATGCTGATATTTGCAGCGTTGTTTGGAGACAACTGCAACAAACAGCGTTTTGGTTTTGCTTATGTTTGATGCCTGAGCTTCAAACAACCGCACAGGCTCAAGAATGCGACACATCCAAAGCCCAAAGCTCAGCTCTGGTCTTGGCTACGGAAGGCCATGGGTTCCGAGGCAACACGGGGAAGTTCACCGCGGCCAAGGAGGTGGGCTGCAAGTTGCTGGCCGCTTCCCGCATAGCGCAGCAACTGAAGGCAGGGAGAGGGAAGAGCCGTTGGTTTTTCTTTCCCCCATGAAAACTCGACTTTGTGGTACCATTGACTCGAAAACAGCCTTTTCAGCCACGCTTTTGAGATCTGTTTTTCGTTCTTTCTTGTTTTCTGTCTTAATTTCTTTCTTTCTTCCTTTCTTCCTTTCTGCCTGCCCGTCCGTTTGTGTGTCTGTCTGTCTGTCTATCTGTTTGTCCGTCTGTCTGTATGTCTGTATGTTTCCCTGTTCTGTTGTACATGATACTTCGTTTGTCCAGGTTCAACAAATATGGACTCAGAATTGGATCCCGTCCGGCCCACCTGGAACTTCAACAGCCGGGCAGCTGGAGAAGGATGGTCTTGTTGGCATCTCTGTTATTGTTTGCAAATACACATGGGGCCAGAATCAAACATGTTTGTTTTTTTTTTGGGGGGGGGAAAGCAATAGGTGTGGTTGAGGTTTTCGGACATGGGGAGTGAACATATGCGGTGCTTGGGCTGCTCTTTCAACTAAAGACAGGGTGCCCTTCCTTGGTAGCCGCAAAGAAAACCAACATATGTAAACCAGCACCATTTCACAACAGCACAGCCCAATAAGGGCAGTTGATCCCCGCAGAACACGAGAAAGACCTCTGGAGCACAATCTAGCACAATCTACTCGCCTTGATCATAGCAGGGCATGACCGGCAAAGCAAAGCAAGCGCAAGACTTGAAGCCCACAAGCGAGAGGCTCCGTTTCCCACATCTGAAGCAAGCAATGGGTAAACATGAGACTACAAAGTGAAATGGTCACGCAGGAGACGTTTGGAAGGAAGCGCTTAGGTTATGGTGGAAGTTGTAAAAAAAAACCTCCTCCCGTGGCTTCGGATTCCGAGACCACTGCGAAGCAAGAGCACGTGCCCTGCTCGGAGATGAACAAGGTGGCGGTGCAGCTGGCAGAAGAGTGGCTTGGCAACGGGCCGTGGGCTGGGGAGGGGAGGCGGGAGGTGGAGCTCGGGGGAGGTAGGAGGTTGTTCCTTTCCGCACCTCCCCCAGCATGGCCGTCCTCTCTGCCCAGTAGTCTTCGGGGTTGGTTTGGGCTTGGTGATTGGTTCAGTGTTGGTGGAGTGGTGACCCTATGTTGACACAACCCCATGGTTGCCATCCCACGTCGTGGGTTTTCAGGCGGGCTAAGTGCTGCCGGGGAATTTGGAGCCCGGAGAGAGGTTGTGGTCGCAGCGTTGTTCTTCGGAGTGCAACTGCACTGCCACACATTCGGGCATGAACTGCCATTCTGACATGAGAGTCTCATCACTCCTGGAAACTTTGTAAAATACATGATACTGTGGATGGACGAAATCCTGCACCTAAGAAACCCTGGAATGATGATTCGCCTGTAAATGCCAACCACAAATGGTTCCCATGGTTCCCAAGTGGTGCAGTCTCGGATTTCGTCCATCAGTGCTAAGATTTGGCCGACATGTTGGTGGCGCTGGCCCACTCGATCCGGGCTTTTCAAGCTCTCGATCCCGGGTCTGTCTGAGGCTGGCGTCTCCCAGCACGTTGGCACGGTACAAGGCCCAGGGCCGCAAGTGGTGCTTTCTTCCGGACCGGGCCGACGGGCCGAGGGGCCGAGGTTCCGGCCGAGACGGCACGGCCCGGTTTCATGGAGCTGGGCTTTGGGGTTTGGGTTCCGGAGGGTTTCTTGCGGATACCACCTAAGCTTATTTGTAAGGGTTCCCTCCCCAAGTGCTCGACCATAAACACGGTTTCCCCTTAGGATCACTGGGTAACTGGGATGTTGCTTCTAGAATTATGTCTTCCTAGGGGGCCTTGATACTCCACGTTCTCGTGATGATTTCGGGCAGTCAATCGACATCTGCCAAACCCGCAGAAACGGTTGGCATATTTTTACTGCAGGCGTTTGAGACCGACAATTCTCCTTGGAGACGAGGGTAGGGCAAAAAATGCACGTTCTCCTTGCGAGGGTCATTGTGAGGGTCCCCCTTCGTTTTACCTTTGCAGCCCATCGGTCCTGACAGTGTTGAGGTTGCTCATGTTGTGTGCATGTTTGGCTCGAATTGTAGGCTTCGGTTCGCTCAAGCCTGGCTTGGGCAAAGGTAGCATTGGGCCCCAACCTGTGTGTGTGTGTGGGTGCGTGCGTGTTTCCTTTCATTCCCCCGTACGTCTCTAAAGTAACCAACCCTCCACCCACCCTTAACCAATCCTCCACCAACCCTGAACCAAGCCTCAACCGACCCCACCCACAACCTCCATATATGGGGGGGGGAACCCGGAACCTGGAACATGTGTCCCGAACATGGTCACATGCATTGAAGTCACTGTGCGGCTGCAATGGAACTCATGTTTGTGTGTTTATATATATATATATATATATATGTGCGCACACGATAAGGCCAATGCATTTGCAACATCATCAAATTGTTGAAGGCCCCGGTGGCAGGCGCCTGTTTGGGTTTGTGAAACATATTGAGACAACAGTTGCCCAACATCTTCACACCTGACCCATGGTGTTCCTTTCGGTCTTCATGGCTCGTTCTTGCACAAATGCTGAGAAGAACTTGGGTCACCTCGGTTTTCGCATCAGCAATGTAGGATGCTCATGCAACTTGCCGAGTCAGGACTACCTCGCAATTCTTGTGCGCAAGGGTTGATCACATGCCCGCCCCCCTTAAAAAGATAATCGGGAAGGGGGGCAACTCCTGGACTACTGGTACCAGAAAAACGGGATTGGGAACCCCCCCGCCCCCCTCCCCCAGGTAGTAGGGGGATGTGTCAATCTAGTGCGTTCGCCCGTGGAGTATCTCTGGTGATCTCGTGATCTCTCACCCCTTGTCTTTGCCAGACTTTTCCTCGCCTTGTATGATGTGGGTTTGTCACCTACCAGGTTTTGCATGTTGATCCTCTTTGGAATCAAACAGCCAGCGCTGCCATCGCTCAAGTTGTAGAACTGCTCTGAAAGATTGTGCATTCGGAGCCAAACACACCAACGAACGAGTCTTTTCGTGTTAACGTTCTTTTCAAGCCGCACTTCACCCGCCACTTCTCTCAATCGTCGCTCGGATCTCGCAGGACACATTCTCCGTAGCCGGCCCCGTATGGGTCTTCCATGACGAGCATCTCGGTGTGATGGATTTGCTTTAAACCTGTGGCTCGGAGGTGATGATGCTGAACTGGAGGTTAACCCCTAACCATGAAAGGGTGTGGCTGCCCTTGGCTTATCCAATTGGATTTGGCTAGACCTTTTCGAAGCCAGGTGATTCAGGCGTGATTCAGGCGTGATTTGTCTTCGTTCCTTGGCTGTCTCAAGGTGGATTCGTTGCTTGCATGTTGAGTTGCCGTGGTTGCTGAGGGCTGTTTAGTGTCAGGCTTGGGGCTGTTCAAAGCGGTAGTCAAACTTGTTGTAGGTTAAACTCGGTTAAACCTATGGTTTCTCGGCTGGATTGAATTTGGTTTTGGAATTTTGCCCCTTGATTCCAGAAGTCGCCACCTCTACAACTCTTTGTCGGGCCGTGCGGCATGGCAATGACTCCTTTGTAGGAAGTAACAATCTGCTAGCAAATGGAATCCTGATTGTGGCCCACCCACGTATGGGGAAATCGCCCGATGTGTGATAACTGTTGGACCTGCTTTTAATATGACCCCCCCCCTCCCTGGACATTGCCGACAGTCATTTGGGAACTCTTTAGTGCAAAAAAGGGGGGGGGGGTCTGGGTTGGACTGGGACTTGTCAATACTTATTCAGGATTGCCGATTGTGAACTTAGTATTGCAAGACATACTCTCAGATTCTCAGTACTTAATTTGGTATTGTCAATTCTAAGTTTAGCATCGTAAATATTTGGTCTCAGATTCCTCGTACTTGACTTAGTATTGCCAATTCTAGATGTAGTGTCAGATTCCTAGTACTTGATTTAGCATTTCCAAGACTTCCAAGCAAGTTTTCTGCGGTCGCCGAAGTAAAGTCAGACCCTACTCGTACTTGCATCAAATGGGCAACCCAAGTTTTACCCTTGAGAAGTGAGCGGTGGAAACCTGCGGCACACACCAGCAGCCAGCTTTCGTGCTGCGCGGCCCAATCCTGGCAGCGGTTGCCCGAGTTGCTGTCCTTTCGGAGACAATCCCACGGCCTTGGCTGCCTCCAGATTCCTTTTATTATAAACAATGCCAAAAAGGGTCCTGTACATGGTTGTTGGGACACAGTTTACATTTTTGCTTGTTGTGGTTTAGTGGTTGAACTCCAAATCCACTGAACTGCTATATATATATATATATATATAAATATACATATATATGTTTGTTTGCTCCCCAAGCCCAATGTCAACCAAGATTTACAGCGTGGCATTCGCTGATCGAGTTCCAGCTTCTACAGGGGGTGTTGCAGCTGCATGCGGACAGCCGGGCCAACGGGGTCCCTCCACTTGAGCCGTTCCGGGGGAGCCAATTCGGCTTCTCTTCCGCTCCGCAGGTCTCCTTCCTTCGAGCTGAGTTGTTCTTTCTGCTGGAAGGCTTCTTTGGTGAATCTGCCCCAGTGCCCTGCTCTCCCCTTTCTTGGGGGGGGTCCCCTACTAAAATAGACGACGGAAGAAAGGGTGCCCTTATTCGAACCTCTCTACTGAAGGACCTAGCTATGATGGGATGGTGTTTCAAATTCCTCATGGGCAGGTGGGCAACCGGGATACCTCGGTCCGGGCAACTGGGACAGCTTCACCATTTCCCCCCCAGGGATGGCTGGGCATCAATTCGCTGAGAAACTGCGGGGCTGTTGTTGGGATACCTCTTAGGCTTGATGTGTTTCAGAAAGTGAACCCAACAAAAGTTCACATATATATATATGCCATGGTCAGGTAGCTGGAACAGGATCTCAGTCTTAGTGCATTTTAAAACGGCATCATGCATGAGCCTAAAGCTCAGTGTGACCCGTTTGTGACCAGGGGTGTTCCTTCTCGCCCCCTTTTTGGTAAGCCATGTCCCCCGACAAGAATCCGCCTGCGGCTCAAATGAAAGTACCAGAATTGCACCTTGGTACATAAAAAGCCAGGGACTAAAACCTGCGCTTTTGCTCATTTTTGCCCTAGCTCTTTACTTTTGAGCACCCCCAAAGACAAAAACCTGCGCTTTTTTGCCCTAGCCACACTCCCTCTCTCGAAACTCTGGAGGTTGCAGCTCAAAGAAAACGCCAGCTGCATGAGCGTGCAGAGCCCGGCCATGCTCACGGAGCTCAATGCCCTGCTGTACCCGGGGATACATTACTGCGCCTCGGGAAAAAATGTTTCTGTGGCATGGGTCCTGGAGTCCGTAAGTCTTTAAAGTGTCATTTCATGTTTTGTTTGGGGGGGGGGGCCTTGTCTTGTTTCATTTTCGGGCGAGTCAGTCAGTGGTTTCATTTTGTTTGGAGCCTTGTCTTTTTGTCGTCCATGAGAAGGATTGTGTTGTGATTTTCACGGGCTGTATATGGTTTGCTTTCGGGGGGGGGCGAACACTTGAAACCACCATGCGGGTATTTTTTTGGATGTCGCTTTAATGGACCCATTTTCAGGGAACCGCTTTAATGGACACATTTTCAGGGAACCGTCTTTGTTGAAACCAAAGGAACACCACCAATTGTAGCCCCGTTTACATTTCACGCACCGAACTTGTTTTTCCGAAACGGTGACCTTGAGATCTCTACAAACGCTGATTTACTAGACACATGGGGTCTTACGTTGGGGGTGTCATTTTGTGACGAACAAACTGTGCGATATGTTTTGGCAGAAGCTTAGGCCTACACCCATCATGTTGTGGGGACGACTCTGTTGAATCCGTTTTTCTGGCAGTCGTTTCATAGGCATGCGTTGTGGTCAGTGTTGCATGTTGTATGGACTGCATTTGACAAGGTTTCACTGCTTGGAAAAGGTGAGCGAAGTAGAAGTTTAGCAGGGAACCTTCCCGGTTCTCACGTGGTTCTCGTTTAGGCTCGTGCAAACGAAGCGAAATTGTTTGAGAAGAGCAAACTGCGACGAATGGATCATTTGGCGTTAGTTCCACTTTCTGGTTTAGTAGAGGCTCCACTTGGTGGCTCACGTCTTGCAATCCTGCTGAAATGAATAGCATTTGCCCCGTTTGTGGCCCGTTGACCTTTGCAGTCAACTGGTTTAGGCTGAGGATCATCAGGATGCCAGCGATCTGCTTGACTAGCCAGAAGATGCTGTTTTAAAACAGTCTTTAGGGTCACGGCGCAGGAAGTCGTTGGTAGACATAGCGGCACAGTGAAGTGTAGACTCTCAGGGCCATTTGCAATGAGAGTGTCGCAGCGCACAAACGGGATCAGCAAGTTCCATCCAAGAAAGAACGCAGCGAACAAGTGTTCAAGATTCTGTCCACGGTAGTGAGTGCTAGCTTGGTACTCAGTTGCAAAAGTCAATGGGCATTCCTCATCTGACTGTCTTTACACTTCATTCAGATTAGTATTGAACAGGCACTTGTTTTCCAAACTGCTCTTCCAAAAAAACGATACCGGCTACAACTGAAAGCATGTATGGGAATTCGGGGTCGCTTTCTCAGGCCGCTGAAAAGTTGCAATTCTTGACCTGGAGCTGCCCAGATGTGCAAACAGGATACAAGTTCAGACAGAAGAACCACCCACACCCCCGCCCCACTTGGATGGTAAACCTGAGTAGGCTGCATGGTTTGTCCACCAATCTGTGTTGCCCCATTGCATTACATTTACTTCCCCGTGGTTTGACCACCCAAGCAAACCACAAAGTTCTTCAAACCTCCTTTTGGCTATGCCTCGTGGCCCGCCCGACCTTGTATCTTGACTGCTGGGTTGGATCTTTAGCCTCTAACCTTTTGGGAAATAAAGTCCATATGTGTGACGCAACATTGCGGTTCTTTGGGTGCGAAAGTTAGAGCCGTTGCCAGGCAAGCTGCTCAAGATGACCCAATGCGTGCTTCCCGTATGGGATCTTATCAGGGACCTTGAGACATATCAGCCTGCATTTACGTAGTGTCTGGCCATTTGGGTTTTTTGGTTCCTACGCACCTGGAATTGAATTAAGACAGCTTATAGAAGAAGGCCTGCCGTGATGTTGCCTCTGTTACCTTCATTTATGACGCCCAAGTGCATCTTTCTGCGCAAAGTGGCTGCGCTTCTTGGCTTCTCCTGCGATGTGGTATGATATGTATCAAAATAGGGGACTCCGTGGTGTCCGTTTGGTTTCCCTTCAAATAACCTGAGGATTTTTACTTTCAGGAAACACAGACCAATACTATATGTATATATATATATATATATCCACGCAGGTATAGTATTTTATATATACACAAGACAATCAAGGGTCTTATGGCCACTTCCATGACTGGGAGGCAAGTTCGCTTGACTTCTCAGCGGTAAGGCAAGCTGCTCTCGCCTGCGCGAGTATTGGATTGGATGATGACGGACAGCCTGAAAGGACCGACGGAAGTTTGCGGGAACAACGCTCTGCCGGGCATTCCTTGGTGGACCCCACCCCCCACAACGCTTTGTCGTGACTGGTGAGGAACTCATTGGACGTGCGGGCAGACATCTTCTCTTTCAGCAGCAATTGTTTGAGTGTTTGGCCATGTTCGCCAGAACGAGGTTTGGAATGACATTGTTTTGGAATGATTGAGCAACCGCCAAGGTTCATCTTGCCAACAGTCATTCGCCTATATGTATTGCTTTGGTATTCGCTGAAATTTGCAGATCCTTGGGCGCCCAACCCCATTTGAATATGAGGGCCTGCTGCCATTCGTCCAGTTGCATCACATCAGGCTCACACTTTCAACGGAGATGCCGGGACCATCCAAGCCCTCTTAAGGCGCATGTTTAAGACCTGCAGGTTGTTTTAGATAGCAAATTATTGTCCGGACCTGTGGGATTTCCGGAAAGCAGAATTCATCCCCGCTCTATGAGAAGAAGCGGAGGGGGAGGTGTGTGTGTTTTCTCCGCCGGGACATTGCAACACGCCATGGCTGCGTGACGGTTTGAAGCGGACGTAGTGCAACAACAGGCGTTGTTTCGAGTAGTCTTCGTCCATGGTCTTGCTTGCGCCCAGAGTGGTTTCACTTGAGGTGATCTTGGCAACGATCACCTTGTTTCCAGGTGTTAATTGATGTTCGTGTGATGTGACAGTAGACAAAGGAGGTAGATTTGGTAGATGATGTTGATCATGTTTATGATTATTGCCATGCCAAGGCTTGATGTGTTTCCTGCATGCTGAAGCACATTGGTTATGATCCGTTCTAGGGGTCGCCCTGAAGACAAGCCATGACGCTGCCTGTTGATCGCCCATTGTCGAAGGATTGATGTCTTGGAGTAAGGATGTGCCATTTTCGTGATTGGTGACTAGAAGGAAGCAACATGTGCTGCTTTATCACGTCGGCTTTTAGCTACAATGACACAGATGCAATTGCTGCCCTCGCAGGACATGCAGCGGAGGTCTTGGTCATTTGAGCGCCATTTGCTGCGAGGGCTCGCTTCGCAAGTCAATTTGATCAGCGGGACTTGACTGACTGAAGTTGGGGTTTGGGAGTGTGGAGTCTCCTTTGGATCCTGAAAACATGATTGGTTGATTTCGGTAAGGTTTGGGGTTTGGGAGTCTGGAGTCCTTGTTGGGACCTTCAATCGTGCTTAGTTGATCTGGTTGAGGTTTGGGGTTTGCGAGTCTAGAGTCTCCGTTGGACCTTTTAAACATGGTTTGGTTGATTCATTTGGGCGAGGGCAGTGTCCGGACTTTCCACAAACAGCTGCGCTAACAAATGTGTGGCGTGTGCTTGATGATCTGCACAATTCTGGCAAGTCGCATTCACCACCACAAGCTCCTCCTTTCCCCTTGTAGCGCAATGAAGCCGTGGCTGGGTTCAGCCAACGACTGGTATTGATCATGTTGTCAACTCCAGGATGAATATGTTTGCCACCTTTGGTCGATTCATGATCGATTGTTCTTGTAGTGAAGGATTCCTTTTTGAGAAGTCGCCAAAAAATTCTCACGGTGGCAAAAAGACCCCCCTGGTCAGCTCTCCGGGTCCGTGAAAGGAGCCTCCGAAAGCCACGGGACCCGCGGAGTGCGAGCTGGTACAGTCCGGGAGTCATCTTTGGTGCATTTGTGTTTTTTGTTGCCAAGGGATGTTAGGACGTGAGAACTTCTTTTTTTTGCCAACATTTTTGGGTTTTCCGTATTGAACCACTAAAGTTTCAGAATTTTTGCCAACTGTTAGGGTTTTCCGCATTAAACCAAAGTTTGAGAACTTTTGGCGGGGGAGCTTTCGAAAGCAAGCGAGTCATTTGGGTGGCTCATGTGCGTGGCTTGTCCCATGAGGTGCCCAATGGCGAATACAGCGGGGCTTCCCATGGTCAGACATGACCAGCTGTTTTCGGTCAAGCAATCGACCCCCGGCAGAACATGATGCGAATCTATGTCAAGACGCGCCAAAGCCAGACGTTCTTTCGATGTGGTTTGTTTCATAATATGTTTTTTTCCTTTTCTCTCGAAGCAGTTCAAGACAGTCCCCAATTAGTTTTGACGACCAACAATTTGTTTGGTTCATGTTGCGGCCGCAAAATTGCTGGGGTTCTGACCGAAGGCAGCTTTGGATTCTGACCACGGATTCGGTTGGGAACCCTGGGAACCTTGGCAACCTCTCCATATCTTTGGTGCATTTTGGTTGGCTGTTAGGACTTTAACTTTTTGCCAACTAATGGGTTTTCCACTAAACCACTAAAAGTTAAACTTTTAGCAGGGGAGCAGAAAGCAACCGAGATATAACTTCGAGCTTTGACCCGCCCCCAAAAACAAAAAACCACGCAGCAGGGGTTTGGGATTTCAAGACACCCTTGAGCCGATTTGTCTCACGCGTGGCTGTTCCCTTGGAATGCCACGAAACCCATTTTCGCCGTGCCGCTGCCGGTGAGGGCAGCGGGCACTCGGCCCAACCACGGACGTGTGGAAAAGACACGGGGGCCTTCTTGCCAGGCAGTGAAGGCCCAGGAACTGAGCTGTGGACGGAATCCTTTTCGCACTTTGAAACCATAGGTGCAGGAGTTCGTCCATCCACATGTCAGTTGGGGAAGGTACACTGTGCCTTGGGTGAAGTTATGCTAAGTGCCCGCGATCGTGTCCAAAAGGGAGCAGTTCACTAATTACAGCTCCGCAGGCGTAAAACTGTAATACACAATGTGTGTGTGCGCCCTCAAACATAGAGATAAATGCATTTGAGGGCAGAGGAGTTACAGTACGCAGTCACAGAGAGCAATAACTGCAAAGAAGGAAAGACGCATTGAACCACTTCGCTTGGCGTTCTTCCTGCTGTTTTCAAGCGTGCTGATCATCAGATTGTTCAAACGTTCAATTTTTGCGCTGTAGAATGTGAAGTTTGGTGAATGTTGGCCGGCTTATGAGGACATGTCGCGCGGAGCCCACAGGGATGTCAAAGTGTACTTGATGCAACTCATTGTTCTTTGCTTCCTTGACTCCGTGTGTTTAGTTTGCGAATGAATTAGTTCGCCGTCCTCTTAAGTGAAGCTAGGAACCCCAACCAAGTTTAGCATGTTGTACACGCGAGGTATCCCCTCACAGCCTGAGGTTGGCAAAAGTCGCCGATGGTCTCATTCCATGGTGTCCCTCACGCAGGTGTCACAATGCGTGGGCCCCAAAATGGTGATTGGTTTCCTTCTGTGCCCAGGTGGCAAGCGAAGCCTCAACATGCACACACACACACACACAAAAAGATAAAACACGCACACAAACATGCGCGCGCACGCAGACCCACGCGCACGCGCACTCGCCCGCGCCCGCGAGCACATGAACGCGCACTCGCATGCACATGTGCACGCGTGAACTGAATGTGTGTGTGTGTGTGTGAATTCTAAACAAACACTGGAGCCCGATGTTACCAATATAAGGGTATGTTCGTTTTCGGCTACCCTATTTGACGCCGGTATTGCAGCGCGAGACCAAACGAACAATACCCACTGCCGAACGCCTGGGAGGCCTTGCCATGAGGTTAGCATCCAGACCTCCCCACGAGGCCTGCGGGGTCGTCTTGGAGGAGCCGGTTCTTTGTGTCTTAGCCTGGTTGGGCAGTGACCTTTACAGACTAGGACGAGCTGGCTATCTGTCGAGAGTCGTAGGGGGCGACCAGGTCGTGTCCCTGAATGGTCCTCAATCGGACCTCATATGTCTATGCACATGATATGTTTGCTCTCACAACCCAAGGGCAATCTCAGCCAAAAGTACCCAAGCACAATCGAGATCCAGGTGGCGAGGTGGTCTTGCGCAAAACCTTGTTGCAACAACCGCAAAGTGCAAACAAGACATTAGTATGTTGTGTTGCCAGCCGTATGTAATATCGACAATATATATATATATATATATACATATGTATATACGTGACGTATTCAGATGTGTATGTATAGTTTGGTTGCTGAGTTTGCGTGCAGCTTTTTGTGACCTACACGCTCAAGCCTGCAAGTTGTGTTTGGTGTGGTGTCGTTGCTATCACAACTTCCATCAGCCATTGGCCGTGGGGTTTCAGGTCTGGTAACATGCCGGCAGGACATGACGTGTAAACCATCTTCGATTGGCAATTTGAAGTACCTTAGTGCCACATGTGTGTGTGTGTGTGCTTGTTTGTTTGTTTGTTTGTTTGTTTGTTTGTTTGTTTGTTTGTTTGTTTGTTTGTTTGTTTGTTTGTTTGTTTGTTTTTGTTGTTTGCTTGTTTGTTTGTTTGCTTGCTTGCTTGCTTGCTTGCTTGCTTGCTTGCTTGCTTGCTTGCTTGCTTGCTTGCTTGCTTGCTTGCTTGCTTGCTGGTTTGTGTGTGTGTGCTTGTTTGTTTGTTTGTTTGTTTCGTTCTTTCTTTCTTTCTTTCTGTCTTTCTTTCTTTCTTTCTTTCTTTCTTTCTTTCTTTCTTTCTTTCTTTGTTGCTTTGTGTGAGTTATATTTGTTTGCTTGCTTGCTTGTTTGCCTCTCTGTCTGTTTGTTAAGTTTGATTTTGTTCGTTTGGTTTTGTTTGTGTTTGTGTTTGTTCGTTCGATTGTTCGTTGTTTCTTTGTGTGTCCTGTTTGTCTGTCTGCTTGCCTGCCTGCCTGCCGGTCTGTTTGTCTGTCTGTCTGTCTTGCGTACATGCTTGCTTGTGAGGTACATTGTTTTTGGGTCGGTGTACCTCAAAACCAACAAAAGGACGCTAATCATGTTGGGTCTCCCGAGTTTGTGACCCACACCCAACATGTTGACAACCAGCTTTTTAAGGATGTTGCAGGTCCCGATCAAGCTGACACTTTGCCATAGTTTTGGACTTACCCTCGCAAAACTATGCAAGGCTGAAGAGGGGGTCTCTGCCAAACAAAACTGGTCGTTCAGGGGCTTCCTCGAAACACTGTGATTTTGTTGGGCCCCTCAGCCTTCGCCCGCGTTCCAGGCGAATTGAGGCGGGCAAGAGACAGGGTTCACGTTGGGCCGGATGCTGTTACAAGGGGGAAATACACTGGCAGGGAATGGGGGGAAGGAGAAATGTCGCCTCACAATTCAAATTCATGTTTTTACAAGCTAAAGGATTCTAGGCCAAAGAATTAAACTCCCGGGTAGCCACTCTTTACAATAGCATGGTGCCTGGGTTCGCTGCCAAGAAGTGAGCTGCACTTTTCCACTGCCCATGCTTCTGCACAAGCAGCGAACATATCGGCGATTTCAGCTTTTTGCTGAGGTAGGTATGGGTCAAAATTAAACCACCAGGAAATGGACCGCAGGTTAAATCGTCCATGTTTCCATTTACCAGGAATCCATTTTGGGGGTACCATATTTTTGACAACAGCCATATCTCACTTCCAATCCAGTGGAGGGCCCCAAAAAAGGTCTAAGCTGGCTATTTTACCACCAAAATGGTCCACACCCAAAAAGTTGGAGCTTGCCCTGTGACCCCGAACATCTGATCCATCGGTTTACGTGAGACAACAGGCCACTGGATCGAAGCACTTGAGTGCAGTTATTCAACGTGAGGTTCGGTCACCTCCATATTCTTAAGTTGCTTTTGTTTGTTTATTATTATTGTGACTTTCCCTTGTTGGTTTTAAAAGGAATTCATCACTATACTGGAAATATTGTGTTTTTTGTGTGTGTGTTTTTTCCTGGGGCCTTAACCACATGGAAGCTCAAGATCGTCATCAAGCCATGTTCAATTTGGGAGGGACATGGGGCCTCACTTTGACGGCATGTCCATTTTCTGCAGTTTTTTTTTTTTTGCTATTTTCCTTTGTTGGTTTTAAACATAATTCATCACTATACTGGAAATATTGTGTGTTTTTTTGTGTGTGTGTTTTTTTCCTGGGGCCTTAACCACATGGAAGCTCAAGATCGTCATCAAGCCATGTTCAATTTGGGAGGGACATGGGGCCTCACTTTGACGGCATGTCCATTTTCTGCAGAATATTTTTGCTAGTTTCCCTTGTTGGTTTTAAACATAATTCACTATACTGGACACATTTCTTTTTTTTTTTTCTGGGGCCTTCACCAAATGAAAGGTCAAGATCGTCATCAAGCCATGTTCAATTTGGGAGGCATGGGGGCCTCACCCAATTCCAGTGTCATTTCACGCCATGGCCGTTGTTCATATCTCTATATTCTCTATATCGCCCGGATGTGTGGCCGTGTTTCGCTCAGGACTCGTTTCAGGAGATCACATCTAGCAGGTTCCCTGTTTGGTCTTAGTCTTCCTTCTACCACCTTCAACGGCCCAAGTTCAGGCCAAGATTCACGGACCCAGGCCCTCTTCGCTAGTACCTGGTGGTTGACGTACCGAAAAAGTGTCCCCTCCTTTCCAAGGTCGAAGTTCTAAAGAACCAGACTTCTTGGATCCTTTTTGGCCCCTCCCCTGCTGTCTGACCAACTGCTATAGAAAAGTAAACGGATACTATGTTTGAATTTGCCTAGTGCTGAAGAGGGCCATGATTCAGTGGGCGACTTTTGCATTATTCATCAGCTCGTCAAGCCTTGATTGTTCTAGTACATGTGGCAAGGACATTTGTTTCTGGCCACTTGTTTGTTTGAAATGTTGGCAATCCCCCACCTTGACCGGGTCTTTTTTGTGGCATTTGTCGACAGTCGGGCAGACAAAAGAAGTGTCTTCAATCCGTGACTCGAGTGTGAGTGTCCACGTTTCAAGGGCTTACGCAAAGCTACACTTGCCAGAGCCAGTGCGCGACCATGCGGGAAGTGTCCCCATATTGCGATCCCTGAAACCAGAGTTCGTGTGGCACATAGAGACAAAATGATGCTGTTATGATATTATGTAGATTTGTGTGTACTTATACATGGACATATGGGCCATCTAATATATTTATATATACATATATATATATATGTATGGACGGAGTCTTTTTGAAGGGTGTGGTCTCATGGTCCGAGCTTTTTATGTTTTTTCAGGCAGGAAGCTCCGTGTCCGCGTCCCAGAGGGCTGTGTTCCTTCGAATTGTCAAAACGCCCCGGACTTGCCACTCTTTGCTTCTTTGTTTTTTGGTTTTCCATCAGTGTCCCTTGCCTCAGCAGTAAGTCCAGGTAATTATGGCTCATGGACGTCTTACAATGGGTACTGCCGAACCCTTTAGCTGGGCCTAGGCCTGACAGTTTGTTCACTGACCATGGCTGAGCAACTGACAGGTTTGGCGTAGACATGCCACGAAAACCAGGAGGACAATCCATGTTGCCTAGCTAGTTGCCCACGGTCCTCTTAGGCAACAAGTAATATTGTCCCGTGGTTCACAGGTTCTTCAATGTGTGGTTGCAGGGTGTTCCGGTGGTTTCCAATTCAATCTCCCAAACAACCCAATCCGCTAGTGTTCCTCAATGTCACAAACCACCGATTGTGGGCAAGGTGATTGTGGTAGCAGACTGAACCCGCCTTTTGATCATGTGAGAGCTCCCGAGGTCTTGCGCTTGTGGCATGCCGGAAATGGGTTATGGCTCTTTGAACGCTGAAAGTGAGTTTGGCTGACAGGCAGAGCGGTTACATGCCATTTTGATTTTGAACTTCTGTATGTGTGTGTGTGTGCTTCTCGGCAGGGGGGGAATGATGGTCACGGACTTGTTTTGCCGTGTTTGGGGCTCAAGTGTTTGCCCTGTCCGGGGAGCAAATTTTGAAGCTCCTCTCCCTTCCAGAGTAGCCATGGCCTGTTCAAGCAATCCTTACCCCATGGCCAACAAAATTGGAAGCTGAGAGGGCTGCGAACCTTGCAGCGACGTCCGATCGGCATTGTGGATAGGGATTGACCACTGTTGAACTGTCCAGAGCATCCGGAGGTGCCTTCAGGATCCTTGGGCCGATCTGACAGCATTGAGAATCCTGCATGGGCATGCAGTTTTGTTCCAAGCATTACCTGTGCCCATGGCACCTGAGGTTTGAAGGTGATGCAGACTTCAGATGTCAAAATGAATTAAGTAGGGCCCCCAGTGGGGACAGGCAGAAAAGTATAGCCAACAATGAAGACAGGCGGTCGGGGTATCCGTTTTGACATGGGGAGTTTGTTCATCCACTTGTCCTAGCCTATGCACTGAGGTGAGCCGTCAGAGAAGGAGGCCGGCTTTCCTGGCTGGGGAGGTTTCCTTTGATTAGATTGAGGTTCTTGAGGGCCTAGAAACTAAGTACGCTAAAGGTGTTCTTGATCGCTTTCTGGATTTAAACCTTTTTGTCACTGTTCCTTGCTGCTTTCTGATCATTTGGGTAGTACACCGCGCTTGGGCAGACGCTGCTCCTGTGTATTGCGTCTGGGCACAGAACTGCAAGGAAGATAAAATGCCAGAATGGCAATTCTCAGACCAGTGATGGTGACTTACCTTGAGCTTTCTCACACCCCCTTGAGACGTCATGATCCCTGCACCCACCAGGCCCAGCGCAAAAGTCAGATCCTCAATGCCAACCCATATGAGTCTGGACAAACGGGCCAAGATCTTATCAATGAAGGTCCCTTGGGCATAGGTTTGGACTTAGCAGGGTGCAGACTTGGTTTCAGGCTGGTTTGGGACTAATTTGGGAGGGATACTTTTCTTACTGTGGATGGACGAATACCACTTTGCACCATCTCACTATTCATAGGCGATCATCCACGCCAACTGGTGCTTTGATCCTGTTTATCCACAGCATGGCCGGTTTGTGCACAGTTTTCCAGGACTGAAGGGCCTCGACCTTGACTTGACTGCAATTGAGTTGGATCTTTAGACTTTCACTTTTCGGGGGTTGATACTCTGGTGTCTTCTACTGACCCCCCAAAAAGTGAAAAGCTGTTTGCCGGGGGGTCAACAGCAAAGTTGAGCATCGCAACATAGGCATGGTGCAAGTTGCAGCCTGGCTCGAGCGAGCCCGCTTGTCGCCATGGGAAAGAGGCCTGAGGACGCGAAGCTCGCTTGCTCGAGCTTGCGGAAACTGGGAGCGCTTAGTTTGTGTTGGTGCATTTTGCTTGGATGTTAGGATTTTAACGTTTTGCCAACCAATGGGTTTTCCATTAAACCACTAAAAGTTTAGTTTTTTTTAGAAACAAACAACAGCAGGGGAGAAGAAAGCAACCGAGTTTGCCTGGGTTTGACTTCACCCGCCGCTTCGTTTGTTGAAAACGAACGAATTAACAACGCAAGAAGCTGCATTGCAAGGCTGGACTTTTCTCATCGGGGCTGCGAGCAGACTTCATGTTTCTCGAGGCCACCACAGACACGGTGGTTGGGTGTCTTGTGGCCTGGCACGTAGACATTGACCAATCTTAGCAGGCCGGAGGGTTCCCTCCCATGCGTGATCTTTCATCCTGTGAACCATTCCTGGAAATCGAGTTTCAGTTGGTGGGGACCTCATCAGTTGCCCTCTCTCGCGATTCATAGACTCGCAAGAGCCACAAAAAGTTGGCCCATGGTTTCAGCCCAAGCTTCCACTCCCCTTCTCTCTGAACCTGTTGGCAAGGAGCCGGCCAAGTCGCCAAAGAAGGTGAAGGCGGAGGCGAGTCTCGAAAAGACCCTGGTCATGGCTAAACTGTTGAGTGTGTGCGTGTGTTTTGAGACGCGGCATCCTTTTGAAGGTTTGCAAGCGTGTGAGAGGAATGCAGTTCTTCATCAGCTGCATACGCTTCATTTAGCATGTGTTTATTTGCGGACTCGGCAGACATGGGCAACTATGTGTTTGTTGTTTTCTTACACCAACATGTTCTTGAAACGGCTACAGACATATATGCAGGGGCCGTTCGATGCTCCCAAGTACGCACGCTCTGTGAAGGCATACATTCTGTGTCCTACATTCCTGTAGCGATGAGATCGGCCCCTTCATCCCATCGTTCCCTGAATTTCCTGCATGAGAGACGAACTGCCGAAAATGTCGCTGGCAGTGGGAATTGAAGAAGATGGATGCCGCATAGAAAAGGGCTAACGCATTGGTTGCAGCTAGCAATCCGCAGCCAGCCGCGGGTGAACAGGCTCAACCCATGGATGCTCCCTCGACAGCGCTGTTTCCGGGCCCTGCACGAAAGGAATCAATGGAAGGAGATCTTGATGCAACAGAAAACGCGCATGATGGTGCTGTTATTTACAAAATATAGTTGTGTTTAATGTTGACATCAGGACAAGCTTGATGCTTTGAGTTTCACACAGCCCCTGCAATGAAGTGGTCGCCGGTTCATTGTTCGTGACGAGCCGGAAATCCGTTCGATGCAGTTCACCTTCGGTTTACCGTTTACCGGTAAGGAGGGTTCCACTCACGAGCGACATGGATCTCCCCACAACTCGTGTCAAGGACGTCCCTCGCCATGCAATTTACCATTGGCATTCGAGTTTGTCTCAACATGAGCGGACCCCCCGGATGGTTGGTTTCCGTTTGGCTCCTCTGTAAAACGAAACGAAGTCAGGGGGCACCGGTATTTAATAAACGCGCGCGCTTTTCCGAAATCATGCCATAACATATCATATATAAAAACTAGGACCCCTTCAAGAGCTCGATGTGAAGATCTCCATTTATGGTTCCATTTTCCCTTTCCGGGGAAGACTAGACACATCGAATTGGGGGAATCATGTGCTTGCCGTTTCAAGCGTTCCTTTCTAACCACTTCTGAGCCCTTCGGAAGGAGTCCATTGCCTTTGCTAGCACTACCTGGAACACCAACACACAGCCCGCTACACGCGCCTCCAGTTTTCTCCTTACAGGCTTCAGAACCAGGCAGCAGGCTTCCCTATTGATATTTCCCCTTGAAACGTCATCTGAAAGGACGCCCCCTTTCAACTGGAAAGGCGATGCGTACAACCGCCCAACGGCACGGGAATTCTGGTTGAGTACGCTCGGATCGCGCCAGGCGGTGGTTCCGGTTGCTAGGGGCGGCGGCCGGGGCTTGAAGGTGCGACCGGGGTGGCACTTTGGGTGGCTCATCTGTTGTTTTTCTCTGTGTTTCTTCGTTGTTGTTTCTTCTTCTTTTTCCTTTTTTTTTTTTTCTCGGGTACCCGTTTTTTGGGTGGATTACAAGGGAAACTGGAGGGAACACCAGCATTTGCGGCGTGGGGGTCCCCCCTATTTCGAGACAATGTCCCCTGCGGTTTTTGTTGTCGACTTTTTAAGTTCGTTTGGTTAGACATAGGCACTGGTTCACATTGGTATTATGCCATTTGTCTTTTTTTTCCCAGAAGGTTACCTATGGCTGGGGTATTTTGGTTGCAACAAGACACCCTGATCTGGAAAAGGGGTCTCCAAAACCCAGAATGCGGGCCAAGCTAAGTTGAAGGGAAGCCAACGGGAGGTTGTTCAGACAATGGCTAAGCATGTTGGAAGAGCGGGATGAGATTGCAGAACGAGCTCAATCCGGTAAAACTAGCTGACCCATGAGGGTCCCTCAAGGAATTCAATCCCCAATTCAGTTGAAACATGCAACTAGCACGGAGCTTGGGTGCAACCGAGAAGATTTGACGTGATTTGGGCGTGTCTCAAAAAAGGGGGACTCCAAAAGTAGGTGGTTTCCCGTCGTCCCTTCAATTGTCAATCAAAAGGGGGTACCTCCTTTTTTGAAACGGGAGGGGAAGGAAAGTATGAAACCCTTCAGCTGCGGCTTTCCCTGTTTTGGTCGAAACTTCCAGTCTATGGTTTATTTGAGAGGGACGTGAGGGGCAAGCTCTAAATTTCCCCACCTGTTGGGGAAGCCAAACAAATTGACCGTGGCTCATGCGCTGGAGATTTCGTTGCACATGCGCTTAAGACTCAACTTGCCGGCTGATGTTTCCACGAGCGCTCCTTGCTGTCGTGGCTGTTCCGATTGAGGTCCGAGCCGAGCCAGGCCTACCAACCTGAAGGGGGACTTACTTTCCTGTTGGCAAGGGTATGTCCATGTTTGCTGGGGAGTGCCTGAAGTCTCTGGAATGGTTGCCGCAGGCGGTGCAGAATGCGCGGGAGCAGTGCTCCAACATCTCAGGCACAAAGCGATGCGTTGTGTGTGTGTGTGTTTTTGTTGTTTTCCCCGTTGATTCGAGCAACGATGAGTGTGATGAGGGTGTGGTTTTAATGCGCTGGGGCCCAACATTTTCTTTTAGCATCCGAAAGTTCTGAGACACCCCGTTACCTATACATGCAGTTTCCAAGTAGGGGAGTTGACCAATGTGTGTTTTCGCTAGGGCAGAAACAGCCAAGAGAGTGACCCCAGTGCACCCGCATTTTTTGTCGACTGCAGGTGCCGATGGCAGCTTTACACAGAGCAAGAAGACGGTGAAGGAGCAGCGGCTCTTCAACGTCTGGCACTCGGTCAAACTGCTGCGGGGTCGACGGGGCAACAGGCATTGGGCCTATGTGTCGTGCAAGGCCTGGAAATCGAATAACTACAGTAATTCAATTATATATGGGTGTGGCTCAGAATTATACAGGAGGGGTTACGCGGGTTTTGGTCCATGTTTCCACTTACCAGGGTTCCATTTTGGTACCGGTTTTTTGAGCCACAGCCATATATAGATATATTGTTTTTTGGGGAGGCCTTGAGAAATATAAGTATGTCTAAGATCATTTGAGAAGTTTCCGTGTCCCTGGGCCAAATGTGACATGTGAAAAACTATATATTTGGATTAATGTAAAATAGTTAAGCTATCTAAAGTATTCTGGGGTTTGAGAGACTCAACTGATGTAAATGTTTTATTAGTATTATCTTTTTTTTAACATCCTGCCAGCTCTGATTTCGGCACGGCCGGTTTTGAAGTCCGCTCCTTGCCACGGACTCAGGCTCAGAACAATGCTCATGTGGAGACCAAGGCATCCGGCGAGTGGCAAAGGGGACTTGGGTCTGTCTCAAAATGAGACCCCGAAAGCACGTGGATTCATGTTGGTTCTCCGGTAAACTCAACCAATAGGAGGGTTCCATCAAAGCCAGACATACCTGATTGAAATCCGGGTGTGCGGTCTGTAGCATTGAGCTTGAGAACCGTGAAAGATGCCAATCAAGAGGCACTTGGAACATATTGGGAATATGTGTCAACCTGCGGACCCGGGCGTCTTTCCAGTAGTTGATAAAAAAAAAGTATGTATATCCCTGTTGTTTGGAACTCGACTGGTCTTCTCGATTTGGACGTACACTCATTTAGCACTCAAGGGAAGCAGCAACCAGCAATTCGTGGCGACTGTTGTAGGCGTTGGAAAAGCGTTGCTTAGGAAATCAAGAAACCTCCGGTGCAATCCTTTCAAGGGTGGCTTAGATTAGTCTTTGGTCACGTCAATGACCTCGGGGAATGGGGTGGACCCATGTCTCATGGAGCTCACGCTTTTTGTTGAGTTCCTCTGGCTAGCAAAGCTCGATGCAGGTGGTATACATCCCAGTAACGCCAGTGAGCGCTGGGATTTCAGGCGAATTGTCGCTGCATCCTGCACCTGGAACCACTAGTCTTCCGGGGCGATGCAGCATTATAAACATGAGGCGGCCCCGGCTTCAGTCGAGGGCCAGTTCAGCCTCACCGAGTACCGAGTACATGCTTTGTGTGGCACGTGCAGATTGAAAGAGGGTCAGCTTTGGGAGAGAGGGACAATTTTCGAAATTTGTTGGGACCAAAGACTTAAACAAAATATAAAAATGTTGGTACCAAAGACCAGATTGCACCGTTTTCAAGTTGTCCAGTCGCAATGCCTCCCTTGCAACCGGCACAGGTCATCTCGGAACAGAAGCGGAAGACCACGCGCAAGGAGTGAAACCAGTGCGAAACCTGCCAGCAACGATCACCCCAAAACTGGGATCTTTGCTTTTTTTGCAATTTGAGGTTCACTAATCCTGGACCAGAATCAAACATCCATTTTTGGGGGCAAAAGCTGGGGTGGAGACATGTCCAAAACCACATGGCTTTTGTTATCGTATGTTTGTATTCCTCCACTTGTGAATATATGACTAGCCTGGCCCGCAAATGGTGATGATCCAGTCTTTTTCCTCGACGTGCTTGCCAATATGGGCTTGTTCAATCTGCTTGGGGCTCAGACAACAACTACAAATGTTGAGTTTCGTGGGCCCAGTTGACTCACCTTGCAAGACAACATTAAAGTTTCTGCCTGGAAGCCTGCCTTGAACTCTTGACTTCTCTCACTTCGGAGTCACCCCAACAAGGCACCCCCTGAAAGGAGATTGCTCTGAACCGGCTTGTTTTTCAGGGTCCCGCGCGGAGGGGTGAGATGAGGCCGCTATGGATGACTCTCAGCTTGCGTCAGGTCTCCTTGGAGCAAACATCCTTGAATACCATTTGTTGTTTCTGGATTTTGTGTGTGCATGTGTGTTTGCATGTGTTTGTTCCACGCTTTCTACGCATTTCTGGCAACGAATGAGTTCAGCTTCTGTAACAAATCTGCCGACAACATCATAACAGAGATGACAGCAACGGGAGCTTCACTCTCCTTCCAACTGGGATTACACCAGAAGTTTTCTTTTCGCGGGGAATGGTCCTCTGGGGACGCCCACAAAGGCAACACGTTGTTTTTGCTTGAGTGGAAGGGGAAGGTATCATTGGCGAGCTGTTTTTACGCCCAGCCGAGCTCGCCACAGTTGCAGCAGACAGGTCCTTTTAATTGACGCATTAATATTGACTGCAGAATAGCCAAAGCTTCATGTTGCTGGAAACAACAACACACTTGGTGTTTGTACAGGGCAGAACTCAGCAGACATGATGATGTGGTGTCAAAAGGATGCTGATGAGCTCTGTGCTGGTGAGACGTCACAAGGGAACCATAAGCGACCCGCGGAAAGAGGTTTTGACCACTTTGAGTATCACTTCAATTTGCATAGCTCATTCCGACACCTGCTTCAACCCAAAGGCTGTTCATGTTAGTTCCTTCCCGCATGCCAAACATGTGCTTGTGATTACAACGTGTCACTGGTTTGACAGATTATGTCGTGAACAAATGTGGGTGCCGCTGCACAGCACACCAAGCATCTATGTCCATCCTCGTCGCACAGCCTGCAAGTTTGATTGAGACAAAGTAGCTATCATCAATCTCTTTTGTCTCACCTGAAGTTTACCGTTTTGGAATGTGTTGTAAGATGCTGTAAGATGATGTTACTGTTTGTTTCCAAACAACTTCAGACGCTTTGTTGGTCCATTGCAAATCACTCAGGAAGCGAGCCGTCGAGCGGACCTCTGTCACACTGGCAATCAGACTCTTGGGCACCATGCATCTTTTTCCCTCTCTTTCAAGGTGCAAGAAGCAAGTTTCGCGCATTTCCGAGGGTTGCGGTGACTTTTGTGGTTGGTCCAATTGTGTAGTGGTGCTTGGCATCGGCGGTCGTCCGGTCTGCTGGCAGGACGGGACAGTGGTGGTTACCGAGAGCAAAAGCCTCCGGAAGGCCCCGGGACGCTCACATCCGCAGCTTGCAGCAGGGTTTCCTCGAGTTTCTTCGCTTTTGGAACCTCCCAAAATGCCAGTTTCGATGGAATCCACTCAGTAGAGTAGGATATCAACTGTGTCACAACATAGCCATGGTGTTGGTTTCGTGATGTGTTCCCTCGAGCATTGTCAAAGAGCCTTCAACAAGGGAATCAAGAGTTCCCCCCATAGGCCCCTGTTCATGGAGTTCTCATTAGCCACAGTTCTCGCCCTGCGGCACAGAGCATGCTGTTGTACACATGAACTGACTGTTCTGGGTTTTTACAATCCATCAACGAAATGCTAAATACATATTTTGTGAGCATTCGCATGCTGTCGGCAAAAAAAAGTGAGAGAGAGGGCGAGTCCCGAGGTGTCTTAGCAACCTGTGGTTGTCGGATGAAGTTAAGTTGTATGTCTTGGCCATTTTCCACTTACACACCACAGCAGTTTCAAGAAAGCGACTTGGAGTTCGGTAGGAGCTTGAACTTCCAACATGCTGTTGGTGAGTTGGGAAAGCAGCAGCTAGCACCGTGCAATATATATATATATATATATATACATACATATATATATATACATGTATATATATCTATATTATATATATATATACATGTATATAAATACATATTCAACAAACAAGTTCAACTCCTCCCTCCAAGAGGAAAATACCCTTCTTGCTTGCGACACCCGTTTCGCTTTGGATATTTCCCCATGATTTTCCTCACATTATGTACATTGAATTCCCAAATGAATTGGTGCTGGCTAGCTTCGTCGAGACTTGGGAAGCTAAGTTACAGAACCCTTCGCACCCCTTTCAGTTTTCGGGAGGTGGGGGACCTTAGACAGGGTTCCCAGTGTATCCATATATCGCTTTTGGTGGTCTTAACACATCACTTGTTGGATTAATTGAAAGTGAGTTTGTATTTGAGGCGATTTGTAAGGGGCATACAGGGAGCCCTGCTGATTTGTTTTTGCTTTTCCCCCCCGTTTGGTGGGATCCTTCCCCACTTTGTCCGGTGAAAAATGGCTGGGGTCCCCTGGCCAGAGCCAGGTGTGCTACTTCTGAGCCCACGCAGGTCAATGCCGGCGAAAGGACTGGGACGTCATTTGGCTGTGGGTCTCTTTTTGGGTACCCCAAATGGAACTCTGGTAAATGGACACATGCACTTAAACCTGCGGTCCTTTGGTGGTTTAGTTTTGACCCATCTTCATTTTCGCTGGCGGAAGAAGTCAGGCCTTGTTTGCCTTGAACCTACCATTCGGGGTGATTTTTGTAAAATGAAATGGTCCGGAAATTGGTCCTGGTGTCCTCCAGATGCTATGTTGGTAGGAAGGGCATGCGCCATGGTGGTTATCCTGTTGGTTTCCAATTCAGCCAAGGTGGAAAGGGTGCCCTTAAAACACACACACACACACACACACATGATGGGTTCCGATACTCATTGGAGTAGCGCCCGAAAGTGTTTGTGGTGTGTGTGGGGCATTGTGGGGTGTTCCACGCCCCTTTCTATTGAGGATTGTAGTGAGGGCTGTTTTTTCAGTTTTGCCGCAAGTTCCGATACCAACCGTTAAGTTGCCAATGGTAGCACGGCTTGCCAAAGGCTGCCATTGCTAGTGACAAGCTGCCGCACTTGCTAAGAGCTCCTGGGAAATCACAAAGCCCTAGCTCAATCACATTTCCATGGCCTTAGGCGGGGCTCCTTAAAAGATACATTTGCCCATTTGAAACATGGCCTTTTCACCAACATAACAGGAAACCACCATTTACAAGTTGCAATGTTCAGGTGTATCATGTAAGGATCCCTGTTAGGTGAAATACCTTGAGGGAGCACTTGTTTGAATAGAGCAAAGGCCGCTTCTCCGATGTTCACTGCGTGTGGTATCCGTGCGCATTTACCTCGGTTGTTTCGTGGTTCTCCACCTAATGATCGACCAAAGAATGGTTCGAAGTTCCATTTCCGCATGGCCACTGGGCGGCGGAGTTGCTTTCAACCAATGTCAAGATGAGTACTCTAAGTCCTACACAGCTAGACATGCAGGTGTTAGGAAACCAGATCAACGGGAATAGTGTTTGTAATTTGTAAATATGACGCCCCTTCTAGTTGCTTTAGCTTTAACCTGGGGCCAGATGTGGATGCCATGCAGCAACTGCGTCCCTCGGGAAGCTGAGCGGGCGCATGCTGAGAAGGACCTCAAAGGAGACCGTGTCAACTCCCATGAATTTATTGGCAGATCATCGACGTCCTCACCTTGGGTAGTTTCAAGAGGTCTTTCCGAGGGGTTTCCCTTCTTCCTAAATTGGGATTTGTAGTAGGTTGCACAGGCAGGATTGGGACGGTAGCTGTCAAGGTAACAAACGTAAAACTCCAGAGCTGTTGCTCATTCACAGGTGTTTGCCAACTTCATGCTGATAATATGCTGGGACACAATGAGTAGGGCTTTCACCTCCTATTCAGTGGTTTCGCATATTTTTGCCGAGACCGCACTCTCCACTATGCCACATATGGACTTTGGCTCATTTTTGGGAAGGCAACTTTTATTGCTCCTAGTCCGCTTCTGTCGAGAGCACTATAAATCGATCACCCTTCCCAATATGTTTTGCTTATTTCTTCAAGATCTTCAGCAGTAACTTCAGTGAGGGGAATCGTCAACGGACTCCTGCTTATGATATTTAAGGGTAGACCGGGTAGACGAAATGTGGTACATAATGTGAGCATGTAATTTTCAGTATATGCCATGGCCAGATGACCAAGACTTGGGGTAGACCACCTCCCGAAGTGCCTTCTTGGAGCTTGTGCCAGTGAGGGAGCGGCGACTTAGGAGCGTCTCACCGGCTGGCGTTGGCATCAGCTCGACTCGTCCCTCTTAGCCCATGTATTATCCAAGGCCAAACTTGAATCCTTTAAGCTGTTTTTTTCCAGTCCGGTCCATGTACAGTCCAGGAAGAAACCAATGGGTGTTTTTGCTTCCTTTCCGGAACCATGAAAACTTGGAAACCCTTGGGATGCGAACCAGCCTGCGAGCAAGGCATTTTGTTCAAGCACTCTGGCGGCACCATACGGCACTTTTCGCGTGCGTTCCAGTTGCACAATAAATGGACAGCGCAGAAAGCTGTGGCAGTCACACCCAGCGGGGCATTCCGAATCATGGCAATCAGTCCTTTCCCGTTTCTGCGGGTCTTGGGGTCCCTTTCACCCGGGTAAGGGTTTCCAAGAGGAAATCCACATGTTGCGGGTCCCCTTTGACACCTTTGACACCGATGCTCCGGCATGCCCGCGAGCTGAAAGAGCTTGCAGCAGTCGAATCACTGGGTGATTTTTGGGATTTTTGGGAACGGGATGCATTCGGGGGGACCGTGTCATAGTGATTTGGGACCGAGCAAATAGCGGCGTTCCTTTTCTCAGTTGCCCAAAGCGAATCGACCTTTTAACCTTTTGGTGTTCCAGTCTTGGGAACCATTTTTAGTCATGGCCCCAAAGGTGATCACCTTTTATTTCTGGGTCCAAACTGGGCGGCGTTCCTTTTGGTTTGGCGTCTAAAGCCAACCTGAGTCCTGGCAGGTGGCTTTTTGCCTAGGAACCTGCGAATCCCGTCCTGGGGTCATGACAACCCGCCCCCCCCCCCCCGTTTTCGGTAGACCAGCAACTCATGACATGTGCAGCGTGTATGGAAACCAAGCAATGCTTTGTCACATCAAGAGGCAAGTTCACAACACAATATGGAATAAACATGAAATTATATGTACTTTAATGACCACGAGCCATCAATCAACATACTTGCAACCTTGGCTTGCGTGGGGTATAAGCTACGAGAGCAAACATCCTACTCAGCGAGCCATCGTCTTCAAGATATCGCTGTTGGTCGAGTTACCAACGTGGGCAGAAACATGTAATCAGCATCTATCTCTGATGCGGGTACACATGCAAGCTGCCAGTGTGTCCTGCAGCGACGTTCTGTTTTACCATGCTGTGACCACATGGGTTTGTGTCAAAATAGCTGGAGCCCCACAACAAGGTTTGTCTTTTGGCTTTCCCTTCAAGCCAGCCCCCCCAGAAATGTTCTAAAAAAAAATTAAAAAAACATGTGTGGTACTTCTTGCAATGGGCAGCGGGGGCGTCTATGAGATTCTGCAGCACGAAAGACACCCAATCTTTGGGAGGGGGGGTATTTTGCTTGAGGATACCTTTTGGGTGGGTCTAAAGAGAAACAGGGACACCACTGAGTTTTACGAACATGTTCTTTGCGTCAACTTTTGTCTCACGAGCGCCAATGGCCAAGCTGCGGGTCTGAGAGATCGCTACCCAACTCGTCGGCGAGCTTACTTCGTTCAAACGGGCCATGTGCTAGGGGATCCCCTAGTTCAGTCTTTGGGAAATAACATGCAGCTGTTGCAGCGTTGCGCAGTGATGTTGGCACATGTTGGCCGAGTTGGGGGATCTGTCAGGATGTGTGCGTGTGCGTGTGTCTCGGGGACAAACGCCTCTGCGCCGCTGGGTGGCTTTGGCCTGTGACTCTTTGAGCTTGACTAGCGCCTCTGTTATGTAGATTCGGGGTATTTCGAAGGTTCAATGGAGAAGCCGTCTGTGTTCAAAACTTCTGAGGGGCTAAGGTCACACCCTAAAAGTATGAAATGACAAGTCAAACAAGGGGACAAATCCGTGAGCGCCTGAAACGTCTGAGAAAGCAAAACAAATGGAATAATTTGCTTGAGCACGAGTCATTCTGGCATCGCAACTCGTCGGCCTGAGGTTCAGATGCCAAAGTCGACAAATACACTTGGCTGTGGCTCAAAATTAAGCAGGAGGGGCTACGCAGGTTTTGTTTCATGTTTCCACTTGCCAGGGTTCCATTTTGGTACCGGTTTTCTGAGCCACGGCCACTTGGGCAACATGGTACAACTCCATGGTTTGGTTCAGTCGTCCCCTTGATTCACCCACACAAAGCAAATTGTGCTGTCTACGTCCACCCTAATAGACCTTTGTTCCGAAGGGGAAGAGCAACCCAGTTTCCACCGGTTTCTCAGCTGTTCATCGCCCTGCCATTTGGGTGTGTTTCCTTTTTTGAGTGTGTGCTTTCTTGAGGGTACCCTTTTCACCTTGGTTGAAAGGGACACCAACAGAGCAGTCACCATGTGGGAGTCCCCAAGTGTAGATTGGCGCTTGGAAATGAGAACCACCGCTTGTTGTTCCAAGGTTTCAGAGCCAAAGAGACTTAGACCAGCCTCGGGCAGGCTGACGAGGAGATTACTCCGGACCAAGTGCTCAGGCGGGCAGCTCTCGCAAGAGTCAGCATTTGCAATGAAGGGATGTCAGAATGCACTCTCGTGAAATTAACCCAATAAAGATCTCAGCAACCTCCCGAGTCAGAGGGGAAAATTACGATGTATGACGGGCAAACGGCGAAGTGTCTTTTGATCAGGATTGTGCCCCATGAGTCCATTGGGGGAAAAGGGGGTTGTGTGTGCGTGGATGTGATTTTGCTGTTAGTGTAGACAACAGGCCCCAGGCCCAGGGCCTGCTGGATATCCTCCAAAAAGACACCATAGGTGGATGGATCGGTTTGAACATTGCAATAGCGATTCATAAACTTCCCCATTCAAGTCTCGGACATCCTTGAAACATGGGAGATTGTCGATGTGGCTGGCCCCTTATTGTAAAGCGTTTGCCAGAGAAGGTCACCATGGTCAACCCTGCAAATGAGCTTGATATCGTTCGCAGACACACACACACAATACAAACCAGTGCTTGCTCTTTGTGGGTGAGGGTCCCTTTTGTAGGCAACAAAGTAGTGACAAGAAGTGGGTGTTCCTTTTTCCCCTTATCACTGGGCAAAGCGGACATGAGGGAACCCTGTTTAAGGTTGGTCAAAGGGCAGCCAAAAGCGAAACCGCAGTCTTTGAGGTCCACCTCGTTTGATACATATCCGTATGTCTCTTGACACTCGCTCTGTTTCTGTGGCGCAGGAGTGTGTCAAGCCGGACCTCCTCCTTTAGACTCTTTCGTTTGACCGCCTTGGTTGAGGGCTTCAGAACCCTTGGGAGTTGGGTCTGAGCACTCATGACACAACTTGGCTGTGTTCCACTACCAGAGATCCTGAACCCATGGAAACAACTTCTGCAATGGCAGTCAAATGGCCTCAGAACACAGATGAAGTGACTGAACCACCTATCCAATCATGGCACTCTACTGGGAACTGGTTTGGCCCCCCCAAACGTCGCAGCAAACCAACCGCCTCGTTCTACGCCTCTCGCCTCTGCCAGCGGCAGTCTTCCCTTTAATTCTCAACTTCGCAAAAAAGAAAGAAATAAAGAAAAAAACAATCACAAAAAAAAGAGAAAACAAAGAAAAAGAAAACCAACAAAAAAAAAACACAAATATACCTTTCTCCCATAACCTCCTCGAGCTCCCCAAACAACAGTCTTGCTGTACCACCCATTGCCTCGCCTCTCGAGAGAGGCGTATCTCGGGGCTCATGGCGGAGATGACCACCATGGAGAGCTCCCTCACGAACCTCCGCGAGCAGTTGGAGGCGTTGAATTCGCGTCGCGGGTTCGATGGCTCCGCTCGGCTGCCTATCTGTTGACCTTTTGGTTTTTAAACTGGTTGGTCCATTTTGCGCCATGGGTGCAATAATAATTAAAATGTTGCTTCCAGGTCCTTTGGGCAAGTGAGCTAAGGAACTGTGCAAGGCGTTTTGGGGGAATAAGTCGAAGGAGCGCCAAAACATGACTGCAGTTCTTTTGGGAGGAGGGCGTGGGGGGGATTCCCTGCGACGGACCCCCCAAGCAAACTTGGTTTCTCAGTGCTTCCTTTTGGTGTTCCTTTTCAGACCCAAAAGAGCTTCTGCATGTTGAGAAGCATGGTTCCTTTTTCGGGGAGCCTTTACATTGTCGAAGCCTCTTGAGAGGTTCATGGCCACCCCAGGTTTGCTGGGTTTCAGCCGACAATTTTCTGGGAAATACCCCAAACTGAACCATCCTGGTGGTTTCCTAGTGCCCCTGATTTCCCCGGCCAGCTAGTTGTGGGGATCATGACGACATAGGATGAATACCCTTCTAGAGCGGCGCTCAGCGCCAAAAAGGCCATTTTAGTAGGTGGCTCTGCCTGGTTTGCTTGGGGCCATACTAATTTCTATCTTGCTTGAACATGTTTGGTATTTTGAAGCGAGGTCTCTTGAATGGCAGGTGAGTTCTGTGTGTGTGTGTGCGTTTGTGTGTCTAAGGGTATCCTTTACACCTCGTTTCCAAAAGAAACACAAACAGCACCGCAATCTTCTGCGTCCCACCCAAATGACGCTTTTAGGTTGCACCACAGGGACTCTGCCATCATGGCGAGCTTTCCGATTCGGCGGTGTTAACGAACTAAATCCTTGGCTTGCGGATCCCTGTGGAATCACTTTGCTTGCCGAACGGTGATTACTTGTTGGAGGGTTATCATTTGAAGTTGCATACTTATGACAATTCGCCCAGAGTTTGGTGATCTTGCAAATCGATTTTCTTTCGAAGAGGACAGCTTGTCAGCAGCAAGACACCTGGCTAACGCAGCAGACGGTTCTGACGACTTGTGGCTTCTGGTCGTTTCTCCTTTCTTGGCGCTTCCCTTGGAACCAACCTTAAAATGTGACGCAAAAGACCGCATTTGCTCACGTCTCAGACGGAAGGCGCAACTGATTCCAGATTTCTGGTTGAATCACGTTCTCTAAAGATGGTCATTCAACCTTTCCGCAGGGATTCTACATGACATCTCTTTGGGTTAGACGAGCTATGACACATGATGCACTTAATTATATATCAGCTGCATGTGCAAAGGTGCATACTATGTTATATGAATGCACACGTGCAACCAACCCATGCGTGTATGGAATCTGTATATGGATATGTATATGGACACGCCATATAATGTACATTGCAATGAACTTTAGCAACATCCTAAGACATTCAAATTCAATTATGTCATTCAGTTCTATCACATGTCTAAGCAAATATATTCAACTGTCATTAAACATGAACTTCACACTGAATCACGATACACATAGTGCATCATACTTGATCTGTTCCTTTATTAAGCTCTATTCATAGGGTTTTAGCTGTGTGGCCACAACATGTACTACAAAGGTAGTTCATGGGGGGGGGTGAGCATATATATATATATATACACATCATGGGGGAATGTATACGCATGTCATCATCTATAAAACATATATATATATATATATAATCATATGCACGTGCAATATTCTGTGACTAGATATGTTCGTTGTGCTCGTTCCTCGCCCTCGCGCAGGCGGAGCCAGATGACCTGGAGGATCCGCTGGCAGGCGCGCTTGCGGCAAGCGCGAAAGCGGGGCTGGGAGTGTCCCTGTGATTTGGTGGGGGGTACCTTGCTGTTGGGGTGGTGAAAAGGAAACCAAGCAAAAAGACAGCTTTTTTCGGGAAGCCCGATTTCAACACCCAGCCAATTGGAGAACTGGCCTCATGATGAATGTTACTTGTATAGGTGGAGAATGCTAGGTTGAAGAACTGGCGAGTGTAGAAGTGTGGAACATGCGACCCTCATCCGCGCCAAGCAAAGACGCCCCCGACTTGCAAGGCGCTATTTGCCTGCACTTGGAGCCTGATTCTGGGCCCGGGCGCATGTTTGACCTTATCCCATGCAGTCGCCGACCATATCAAGTTGTGTCATGCAAAAGGGAGGCCATTTGAACCCGGGCACGCTGTGGTTCGTACTGTGCAAGCCGTCCTTTTCCTTTTGATTTCTTTCACTGTTGGTCCCGCCAGGGTATCATTCCAGCAACTTGGACGCACACAGGCAAGCTTGTTCAGCAGGACAAAAGTAGTTCTACAATAGGGTTTGTGCACCAAACCATGTTGGGAGGCCAACTGCGTTCAAAATATACAGCCATATACAGGCCATGTCTATTTTTCCCAGAGGGAAGCCACATTTTTAGATGGGTATGTTTGATGGGTATGTCTGAATTTGTCCAGATCATCTATTTACCCAGCGATGTTTGCGTCAAGTTCTTCCATTTGCAGACCTTTCCTGCCAGGCCCTGAGCCGGAACGAGTCGGCGAGGTGGGCGTTTTTACGCCAATGAGTTTGGCGGGTTGGACGTGCTGGGTGACAGTAGACGGCGCAAAATGGTTCCATGTCCAAATTGAACCCTGGTGGAATACAGTATGGGTGTCCACAAACCCTTGGAAAGCGATAGGAGCCAAGAAGAACGATCACGGGTGGGGGACAAATGAGTTGTCTTGTGTTCTTAACAACCGCACTGGCAAAATGTTCATTTGGTTCCCATTGCCGAACCGTTTGTCAAAAGGACGGGTCACTTTGGGCATAAAGAGAGGGACTCCTTGGCACCGTCTTTGACGGGATCCTAGAAAGAGCCCCCACTTTGTCAATCCTTCGCACGCGACATATTTATGGGGAAGTGGACAAGCTATATCTGGCGGGCTTCAGGGGTGGAAGTACCTCCTCATGTTTGCAAGTGGGTTTGTGACTCAACCGCTTCGTTCATTCATTCTTTCCTTCTTTCATTCATTCAATCACTTCATGCATTTGCTGGGGGCACCCCAAAACCAGCATTCAAGGTCTTAATGTATGCCGCTATGACTGTAGGGTATGCGGGTGGGCGGACCTCCACAAACAGCCGACTTGGCATAACCTCGGGTAAATCGAGTTCCAGCAGCCTCCAAAAACAACCACGAGAGCCAAGGGCCAGACGCCTTCTCAGTGCCCTAAGAGCACACATGGCCACCCCTAGATTTGAGCAAAAGCAGCCCATGATGCAGCATGATCCTCCTGATTCCAAAATACATTCCTGGGAGATCCTTTTAGAGGGCTTCCTCAGGAAGGTCCGTTGACTGCCTGGGTCATTCATTCATTCATTCATTCATTCACTCATTCGTTCGTTTGTTCGTTTGTTTGTTTGTTTGTTTTCCTTCCTTCCTTCCTTCCTTCCTTCATTCACTCAGTCATTCATTCATTCATTCATTCATTCATCCATGCGCTCACTTGTTTGTTGATTCACTCATTCATTTACTCATTTGTTCGTTCATTCACTTACTCACTCGTCCTTTCAGTCATTTAGTCAATCGTTCGTTCCTCAATTCCTTCATTGATACATTCATTGACTGATGGGTTCCTTCGGCCATTACGTTTCACTCATCTCCATGTTTGATTTACTCATGTTTTTTTGAATTCACTCACTCATTCCATTCATGTATTATCTTGATTAATTCATTGGTTCACTCCTTAATTCATTTAATTACTCACTCACTCACTCACTCACTCACTCACTCACTCACTCACTCACTCACTCACTCACTCACTCACTCACTCACTCACCCACTCACTCACTCACTCACTCACTCACTCTTTCATCCATCCATCCATCCATCCATCCATCCATCCATCCATCCATCCATCCATCCATTCATTCTTTTTGTTTTTAGTTCTTTCTTTCTTTGTTTATTTAGTCATTTCATTTCATGTCATGTCATGCCATGCCATGTCATTTCATGTCATTTCATGTCATTTCATTTCATTTCATTCATTTCATTCATTTCATTTAGTTCATGCATTTCATCCATGCATTCATTCATTCATTCATTCATTCATTCATTCATTCATTCATTCATTCATTTATTCATTAATTAATTCATTCATTCATTCATTCATTCATTCATTCATTCATTCATTCATTCATTCATTCATTCATTCATTCATTCATTCATTCATTTATTGATCCATTCATTTTTTCCATCCATGCATTCATTCATTCATTCATTCATTCATTCATTCATTCATGAATTCGTTCATTGTTTCATTAGCTCGGTTCATGTCGTTTCTTTCATTTCATTTCACTTAATTTCATGTCATTTCATGTCATTTCATGTCATTTCATGTCATTTCATTTCATTTCAATATTGCATTGCATTTCGTTTCATGCATCCATTCGTTCATTCATTCAATAACTCGTTCATTCATGCTTGCACTATTTGCTTCATTTTTTCATTCACTCACTTATTCATTCTTTGATTTATGCATCCATTCTCTCTTTCCTCCAATAATTCGTTGATTACATACACACAAGCTACACACGCTTACACGCAAAGTTCACGTTTTCCGGCATATGAGCAAAGCGTTTCTGCATCACACGCAAAGCCGTGGGCTGTCGCGGGCTTCTTTCCGCCAGGCTCCAGTTCGCGAGTCGCAACATGCGCCACACCGCAGCCGGCTGCGAAGTCGTCTCCCGGAGTCTCTGAGCTGGCTGGAGGAGGCACCGTTGCCACAGATCTCCAGCGTGTTTTCCTTGTTCTTGTTGGAGGGGTTCCCCATTAAGATCAAGACCTTTGAGCTTTCGAGAATGGCCTTTCTCAGACTCCGCTTGTGCAGAGGGCTTGCGTATCCCATCACAAGTTGAAGCAAGGAACCCAGGAACCACTCCGTTCAAAGGAGTGGTCCTTCCTTGTCTGTTGGGCGCCCTGGAGGGCTTTGGAGGCATCCGAAATTCGACTCAAGCCAACATGACCTGTTTTTTTAGGCGGCCAACCCAAAATCAACGAGAGGCCTATTATTGGGTTGACCCAGAAGGCACCCAGGCGCGGGCTCAGCCGCAAGAAGCTGGACTGGTTGGTTTGCCTTGTTCGTTATGGTTCTGTTGTGGTTTCTGAGTATCGGTGGGTTCCTTGGTTTTGGGTGTTTGGTCTCTTGGTTTCGTGATGTTGTTTGCAGGTCGCGTGTAGAATGTAAGTACCGGGCTTTCAGAGTTTTGGGTTCTGGGGGTCGTTTGCAAATGCGGCTGGGTGGTCCTCTCCGTGTAGTACCTTTCTGAACATCGCGTTCTTTGGAGCGCCAAAGCCTTCAACGCAATGGAATGCCAATGCATCCTGCCTGAGAAGGCCACGGACTCCCCCAACCCTTCTGGTTTTCCTGACCAGACCCTGGGCAGGCCGCTCGGCGACCCAGGCAAGGCAAGCGCACCAGGCACGAGAAGTTGGCTCGGTTCAGTGATGGGTTTGTTTGTGTGCGTCTATGAACTGTGTTTGTGTGTGTGTGTGTGTGTTTGTGTTGTCGTTGTGTCTATGTGTGTGTGCGCGTGTGCGTGTGCGTGTGCGTGTGCGCGTGTGCGTGTGCGTGTGCGTGTGGGCGTGTGTGGGCGTGTGTGGGCGTGTGTGGGCGTGTGCGTGCGTGTGTGTGCGTGCGTGCGTGCGTGCGTGTGCGTGGGTGTGCGTGCGTGCGTGCGTGCGTGCGTGCGTGCGTGCGTGCGTGCGTGCGTGCGTGCATGTGTGTGTGTGAGTGAGTGAGTGAGTGAGTGTGTGTGTGTGTGTGTGAGTGTGTGATTGTGTGATTGTGTGATTGTGTGATTGTGTGATTGTGTGATTGTGTGATTGTGTGTGTGTGTGTTTGTGTTTGTGTTTGTGTGTTTGTGTGGGTGTGTTTGTGTGGGTATGTGTGTGTGTGTGTGCGTGTGTGTGCGTGCGTGCGTGCGTGCGTGCGTGTGTGTGTGTGTGTGGGTGTGTGTGTGTGTGTGTTTGTCGCCATGTGTGTGTGTGTGTTCTTGTGTGCCTGTGTATTTGTGTGTCTGTGTTTGTTTGCATGTTCTTCTGTTTGTTCCCGATTTGTGCCCCTGCCTTTACGCGCCCTAGTGATGATGTGTTTTTTTTTTCTGGCTATGTATGCCTGTGGTCTGTGTTAGTGTGTGTTCTGTGTTTGTGTTCGCGTGCGCGTGAGTCCCTGTCTCTGCATGTATGACTGTCTCTGTGTGTCTGCGTTTGTGTTTGTCTCTGTGTGTGTGTGTGTGTCGTTGCGCGTGTGTAGTGTGTGTGTGTGTGTGCGTTGTGTGTGTGTGTGTCTCCCTCTGTGTGCGTTCTGTCAGTGATTGTTTGTCTGTCTGTCTGTCTGTCTGTCTGCCTGTCTGTCTGTATGTCTGTCTGTCTGTCTGTCTGTCTGTCTGTCTGTCTGTGGTTCTGTCTGCCTGTGTGTGTGTGGGTGTGTTCGCGTTTGTGTGTGTGTGCGTGTTTGCCCGCGTGTTTGTCCGTCTGTCCGCGTGTGTCTGTGCAGTTGCGCTTGTGTTTGTTGTTGTTTTTTTAGTCTGCTTTCTTGTTTCCAGGAACATCCTGAAGTGGGGACGTTCTGGATGGTGTTTCAAGGAAATCTGAAAGGACACCCGCCCTTTTTTTAGGAAGCACCCATCTTACCTTGTCGTAGGAAGGTGTCTTTCAGACTGGTGCGGCATCAACCCGGTCACGGAGACACCTGTTGCCCTATGGTGTGTGAAACTTTTTGGGTGGCTTGAATCGGACGCCTCGCCCTCCTAGAGGGAGGTGCGCAGCGGCCCTTTTTCGAACGTGAAGGTAGTC